ACAGTCTGGCCAAGAGGCTCCCAGGAAGAGGGCAGAAGAGGGCAGCCTGGACCCAGGTTCATGGGGGGGGGGCAGGACACACCCCAGAAGAGGAGGAGGAGGAGGAGGAGAGCTGGGAAATGCTGGTAGCTGGGAGTTGGAGGACCTGAGCAAGGACAGGAATCAGGGTGAATAGAGGCAGCACCAGCTGAGAGTGGACAGTCTGAACTAATTGTAAATAACGTTGTGACGGAAGAACTTAAAATTGAAAAAGGGACACGACAAGGTTGCCCAATTTCCCCACTTCTTTTTATTTCGGTCCTGGGGGTGTTGCTGAATATGATTAGAAGGGACCAGATGGTTAAAGGTATACAGGTCGGAACTAAACACTATAAATTGAGAGCATTTGCAGATGACTTAGTATTGACGTTACAGGAGCCAGAATCTAGTACTAAAAGGGTTTTAGAACTGATTCAAGAATTTGGTCAAGTGGCAGGATTTAAATTAAGCAAGTCAAAAACCAAGGTTTTAGAGAAAAATTTAACACCGTTTGAAAGAGAGAGGTTTCAGAATGAGACAGGTTTAACAGTGGTTAAGAAAGTTAAATACTTGGGGATTAACATGACAGCAAAAAATGGGAATTTATTTAAAGATAACTATGAAAAATGTTGGTCAGAAGTGAAAAAAGATTTAGAAATTTGGTCAAATTTGAAGCTTTCACTGCTAGGCCGTATTGCTGCGATAAAGATGAATGTATTGCCCAGAATGTTGTTTTTGTTTCAGACTTTGCAGATAGTGGACAAAATGGATTGTTTCAAGAGGTGGCAGAAAGACATTTCTAAATTTGTCTGGCAGGGCAAGAAACCCAGAATAAAATTTAAAATATTAACGGATGCAAAGGAAAGAGGTGGATTTACCCTGCCAGACCTTAAACTGTACTATGAATCAGCAGCCTTTTGCTGGTTGAAAGAATGGCTACTTCTTGTAAACACTGACATTTTGGATCTAGAAGGTTTTAATAATGTATTTGGATGGCATGCATATTTATGGTATGATAAGGTCAAAGCACATAAAGCATTTAAAAACCACATTGTCAGGAAAGCGCTGTTTAATGTTTGGATAAGATATAAGGATTTGTTAGAAAATAAAACCCCAAGGTGGCTGTCACCAATGGAAGCGAAAGCCTTGAAAAAGGTCAATATGGAGGTCAAATGGCCGAAATATTGGGAAATTTTGGAACAAGACGGAGATAGACTGAAATTGCAGAGTTTTGAAAAACTAAAAACAAAGTGCGAGACTGGCTTCATTATTATCAAATAATGGAGGTATTTAAATTGGACAGGAAAATTGGCTTCCAGGTGGAAAGATCCAAATTAGAAACAGAATTGTTAGAACCCAATACTAAGAATTTGTCAAGAATGTATAACTTGCTGCTGAAATGGAATACTCAAGATGAAACGGTAAAATCGGCTATGATTAAATGGGCACAGGACGTTGGTCATAACATTATGTTTGCTGACTGGGAACAGTTATGGACCACAGGTATGAAATTTACGGCATGTAATGCCTTAAGAGAGAATATTATGAAAATGATATACAGGTGGTACATAACCCCAGTCAAGCTTGCGAAAATCTATCACTTGCCCGATAACAAATGTTGGAAATGTAAAGAAATTGAAGGTACATTTTTTCACCTTTGGTGGACGTGCCCAAAGATTAAGGCTTTCTGGGAAATGATATATAATGAATTAAAAAGGGTATTTAAGTATACCTTCCCTAAGAAACCAGAGGCCTTTCTCCTGGGCATAGTGGGCCAAATGGTGTAAAAAAGGATAGAACTTTCTTTATGTATGCAACAACAGCAGCAAGAATACTCATCGCAAAGTATTGGAAGACACAAGAACTTCCCACGCTGGAGGAATGGCAGATGAAACTTATGGACTATATGGAATTGGCGGAAATGACTGGCAGAATCCGTGACCAGGGAGAAGAGTCGATGGAGGAAGACTGGAAGAAATTCAAAGACTATCTTCAGAAACACTGCAAAATTAAGGAATGTTAGAGTGATGTTGGACTGAAAATAAGTGGTTTCCAGCTGCATAGGTTAAAGTTAAGGATAGATTAAGATTAAAGATTAAGATTAAAGAAGTTTAAAGAAATGGAAATTTGATTTTAAAAGGAAAACTTTAAAGTTACAGGATATTAAGATCAAGGATTAGGTTTAAAAGAGTTGAAGTTATATATTTTAACATTTTATTAAATTAAAGATTGGGATTAAAAAGTGGAAAAGAAACTGCTGGATAAATAAATGTGGATTGGAATACAAAAGAGGGAGGTATGAGGAAGTCCAGAAAATAAGTAACTTAAAATTGGTAATGGAAAAGAGAGTTCGTTATTAATTGTTTTGTGTTTATATTGTTAAGTTTTGGATTGTTTTTTTGTGTGTGTTGTTTTTCTTTTTTGTTTGTTTAAAACCTTAATAAAAATTATTAAAAAAAAAGAGAGTGGACAGTCTGCCAGACCCCCCTCCCACCCTTAGGACTCAGCTACATTAGTCAAAAAAACCTCAGCAATTTGAATGCGTTATAAACATGCAACGCCAGATGACGCCAGAGAGCACAAGACATTTCTTTAGCATTTTTACATAAGGCTTTTTAAAATAATGATTTCATTTCCGACTTTTTTATAGCATTCCCCCCCCCCCTGTGCAGATCCACCCCTAGAACAAGGAGATTACTCCACAGAACAGAACAGGAAACCAGGAAACCCCAAGGAATGTGCCTGGCGCCTTGCCGTGGGCAGAGGGAGGGGTCTGAGACCTAGAAAATAGTCGGGGAGGGGCACACATTCTGAGCCCCAGCTCATGAGGAGGGAGTCTATTTCATGAATCTGAGCAGTGGGCCTTGTTTTCTTCTGCTCTTCCCAGAGCGCGTTTGCCGTCAGCTCCCCCGTGACAATTCCTTCCTTCTCTGAGTAAGATGTAGTTGGATACAACTCATAATAATTTCCAGAACACATTATTTCCTCCAGTTCTGACTACCATGTTGGTGGTTTCTCCTCTTTTTACTGTTTTTTTGCCTGCTCTTCTTGAACTGGCAAAACAAAAGAGTTGCCAAAGAGCCTCCTTGCAGGTCGGCAGCTGGAAGCTCCGTGGAAAAGTAAATTCAGCCTGCAATTAGTGATTGAATACAATACGGAGTTGTCGGACCAGGCGCTGACCATCGTCTTATATCTTATTTTTCTGACTTACCTGTGATGTCAGTGAGAGGTCATTCCATTGAACAAAGCTCACTTCCGCTGTCTGCAGCCACGGACAAAATTTAGCTTGATTTTGATTGGGGATCAGCTGGGAGGGGCATATGCCAGGGCGAGAAGGGCCAAAGGGCCTCTGAGCACGTGCAGAGGGCCAGGAGTTGCAGTGGGGGTCTTCTCTTTGGATTAGGGAAAAATCCAGACACCCTTCACCACTCCCCCCCAATTTCCCTAAACTGGTGGAGGGTCTGGATTGGCACATTGACCAGGCTGGACTGCGTCAAAAGAAGAGGAGCAGACTGGAGGCGGAATGCTGCTGTGACCATTGGGCAGCGCTGCCTCTGGGTCATTTGGGAAAGCTTGCAAGCCCTCCCCACATTTTCTCTCTCTCCCAAGGCGATGGGGGCATGTTCCAGAGGTCTCCATGCACCTTGCTCTCCCCCCTCTGAACGATCCAAAGGGGAAAGGTGGCTGAGGGTTGGCGGTGTAATGAAGCACCCCCACTCATTCTCATCCCCCCCAGCCCCATTGGAATGGAACACCCCCCCAGTCCAAATGCTGCAACCTGGCTGGCTCAGCCCATATTGGAATGAGCAGACCAAGCCCCAAACGCCCTGTGGGTCTGGCCAGGAGGAAAAGCCCCCTTTGTTGAGGCTCCTGGGGTCCCCCCCAAAGAGCCCCCTACTGCCCCTCCACTTCGACCAATGAGCCCCGTTCACTGAAAGACCACAGGGAGATTCAGAGCATTTTCATTTGCTGTTTTATTACAAAGGGTTGTACAAACAGAAGACCAAAGTCTGTGGGGCGCCCCACGGCCTCACCTATTTCCCTCCCACCCAGAGCAGTACAAATGTGGCCAGAGACCTCCCCCACCCTGAGAGGGACCCAACCGGGACAGTGCCGGTTCTGCTCTGCCACCCACCCCAGCACGAGCCCCACTTTGCCATGGGGCAAGGGCCACCAGTGGCCAGGGGCCTTCATGCCACGGACAGCCGCAAAGTCCCAAAGTTAGGGGGTGGGAGAAGTTGACCTGGCCAGGCAGCATCACGCCTCCCCCCCACTGATAAGGTGCTTTGGGAAGAATAGCTGGGACCCATATGGGGCAGACGTCGCCCACTGCCAGCACCGAGGGGCCCCAGCTGTGCCACTCCCCATGCCATCCTTGGAACCGAGGAAGCGCATCATGACCCCACAGGCCCACCCAGACCCCACTGCTTCGCCCATTCAGCCACGTGGGACGGCACTCTCCGCCCCAAACTGTATCCAGGCTCCCAGCCGAGGGGGCTCTTGAGTCTCTGGGGGCGTCCCAGCAGGGCCCCTCCACGCTTTGCCAAATCCATGCTTCCTGCTTCCAGGATGGAGTCTGGGAATCCTCTGGGGCCGAGGCCTCATCCTGCCACGCTGGAAACAGCACCCATGGCCTCTCCGCAACTGTCGTCTCCTGTTATGTGGTTCTGGGCGGATTGGGCCCTCCACTTCTGGAAGAGCCTCAGGGGTCCATGCAGAGGAGAAGGGACCAGCCTCTTTCCTGGAAAGGGCTGTGGTGCAGGGGCCACGGGGGTCCCCTCTTCCTTCTCTCCCCTGGGGACCCCCTTCCTCCTCCAGGGAGCTCTGTGTGGTGCCCCATCTCCTCTCTCGCTCCCCAGGACCAAACAGTCTGGCCCCTGGGGCCCCGGGGCCCACAGAAAAAGAGGGCCCCCTTTGCCCAGGCTGTCCCATCAACTCTGCCTGTCCCTGGTTCACGGAGCCCCCTCGCCCCCCCTTGCGCCTCACTTCTGCCTGTACTTCTCGCTGTTGGGGGAGAAGGACCTGGTGACGCCAAAGGGGCGCATGTTCCTCCCCGAGGTGATGAGGGCCCCAAAGCCGTACTGGTGGGAGAAGGCGTAGCCGGAGCGCCGGGAGGCCTTGCGCTGCAGGCGCCGCTTGGGGGACGGAGGCAGCTGCCCCTTCTGAAGCTGCTTCACCATGTGCAAGACCTGCGAGTGAAGGAGGAGAGAGGAAAAAATGCGGGGAGGGAGGAGGAAGGGCAGGCGGAAGCGTCGGCTGGGAGCAGGGGCAGGGGAGTCACGCGGCTCTCTCGGAAGGTGGCGGCCTCTCCTTCTTGGAGGCTTTGAAGCAGAGGCCGTCTGTCAGGGATGCTTTAGGGTTGGGCTAGAGGACCTCTGGGGGTCCCTTCCAACTCTACAGTTCTAGGGACCTCTTTCTAAACTGTATTTTAAATTGTCCCCCCCTCTCTTTTCCCCCTATAATTTTTTTACTGTGATTTTATTGGTGTTAGCCGCCCTGAGCCCGGCTCTGGCCGGGGAGGGTGGGGTATAAATAAAAATTTATTTATTAATTATTATTATTATTATTTTCTTCCCTAAGCCTCAGAAAAGTTGTGGCAGATTAAGCCGCCGCAGCCTCTCATTTCTATCTGCCAGGAGTGCCAGCAGGGGGGCGGGCTGGAGAGGATAGAAATTCAAGAAAGCAACAAGGAGGATTGCCAAAGGGCCCTTCAGGTATCACCAACGCACAGGTGCCATCTCCATCTCACAGCCAAGATTGTGGGTGAATGCAGCAACTTTGCCCGTTGACTTTGAGGGGGCCCAGCACCCAGAAAGATTTTAATGTGGGTGTCGAAGCAACCACAGCCCTGGAGTTGACCGCATGGCACCAATGGGTCACTGGCAACAGGCTTCCCCCCTGGCCCAGATTTCCCTACAGATTTTGAGGTCAGCAAAGTTGTGTGGATGCTGCGTATACTTACGCAAGTGAGGAGCCCCCACCACAGCCAACCCCCCCCCCCCCCCCCCGTCCTGCCTTGGAGCACCCTGTGCCTCCCTGCAGATCGCACAACACCCGTGGCGGGGGCAAAGATTTGCAGCCTGCCCTTCTCAGGAGGCTCCCTCGCTCTCACCCTTTTAAAGAAAAGATGCCCAGGGAATTCATACAAGCCTGGGAGCGAAAGGGGAAGACGATCTGGGCTTGCAACTATTCCCGTGCTTAAAACAGGAATATCGTAACAAGAAATGGAAATGTTCTGTTTCCAACTGCAACTCAAAATTGCAGCAAAACCTGGAGACTTAATTGGGGGGTGAGTGGGGAGGGAAAGGGGTCCCTAAAGGCAAAGCCCATCCAGAGCCAAGATGCAGCCATGGAGATCAGGGCAGGCCCCCCCAGGGCACCAGACTTTGGGGCTGGCAGGCTGAGAGGAAGCAGCAGAGATGCATGGCTGCCCTGGCAGATTAGGCTCTCAAGGGAACCTTCCGGGGTCTTAAGGCATCTCTGGGTTGGTTTGTTGGTTTGTGTCTGAAATGTTCAAAATAGTATTTTTCCATCTTAATAGCTCCTTGGCTAGCTTTGCTGCATTAAATGTGAATTCTGTACATGGCTTTCTTATTTGGAATGTCTTATTTGGAAATCTTTAAGACCAATGTTGTACTATTTTTGTTTGTTATGTTGCTTTGAATGTATATTTTATATTTCATCTGCTTCCATAATGTTTTATTTGGTGTTTTAACATTTAAACCACTTTGAGATTCCCCCCCCAAATAAAACAATATAGAAATAAATTGAATAAAGTCAGCAATGATAACTCCAGTTTGGGCATGCTCTCATCTGCACCCTGACTAGAGATTTCAGATTTCTTTCACAGCAGGGTGGTGGGGGCTTCAGCCGGCCACAGCCCACTGGAGGAGTGGGGGGCGTGCACAGTCCCTGAGCTGCAGCGCCTCCCCCCCACTTCTTTCTAAAAATAGCCCTCTCCTCCTGCCCCAGTTCCTCTTAATCCATGTCCATAATCCGCACTCGCCTCTCAGCCGCAGATGGCCGGGGTCACTTGGCCCCAGGGATGGCAGGAAGCATCGCAGAAGCAGGCAGAGGCCAAGTGAGGGCAACTCCTTGTGCCCCCCCTCGCCCCACCGCTTAGAGGCAAGCAGCCTGCCCCCCAGAAGCAGGGAGGAGGGGGCCTTACCTGGTCGCTGATGGTGGGCTTGAGCTGCACCTTCAGGAAGCGGAAGCCGACGACGGGGAGGACGCAGAGGGTGACGCAGAGGAAGATGGACAGCCAGACGTTGGGCTGGTTCAGGGTGTTCCGAGCCGAGCCTGGCAGGGAGAAGAAGAAGCGGGCAGGCGATGCAGCCGCCTCAGACTGCTGCTGGGGCAGAGCGGGCAGAACAAGCAGGGCTGGAGGTCCTGGGGGTCAGCGATTGGCGGAGAAACTGATTCCCAAGTTGAGGGTCGCTTTCAGGACATGGGACTCTATGTGGGGCTGCCCTTGAGACTGACCCAGAAACTCCAGCGGGCGCAGAATGCCGCGGCGAGGCTCCTTACGGGGTCCTTGCTGCGAGATCACATTCACCCAGTGCTATGCCAACTGCACTGGATCCAGGTGGAGGACAGGATCAGGTTTTAACCTTTAAAGCCCTATACGGTCTAGGACCCTCGTACCTACAGGACCGCCTCTCCTGGTATGTCCCACGGAGGACATTACGGTCTTCAGACAAAAACACCTTGGAGATCCAGGGCCACAGGGAGGTTAGGCTGGCCTCAACCAGAGCCAGGGCTTTTTTGGCTGTAGCTCCGATCTGGTGGAATGCTCTGTCCCAAGAGACCAGGGCCCTGCGGGACTTGACATCTTTCCACAGGGCCTGCAAGACAGAGCTGTTCCACCAGGCCTTTGGCCAAGGCACAGCCTGACCCCCTCCTCTGGTAATTCTTCATAGAACTCTAGCCCAATGGTTGCCATCAATTTGATTTGAACTGATTTTAGAATGAATTGATTTTAGAACGCTGTGTTATTTTTATTGTTGTTAGCTGCTCTGAGCCAGGCTTCGGCTGGGGAGGGCGGGATATAAATAAAATTTATTATTATTATTATTATTATTATTATTATTATGCAGGAGCCAGGGGGAACGAGGAGCCTCCAGGGTCCTGTTGCTCCGGAGGCCCTTCCTGCCTGTGATTCCTGCATAGCAAGGGGTTGAGCTGGATGACCCCTGGGGGTCCCTTTCGGCTCTACAGTTCCATGATTCTGTGATTCCACATCTGCCTTTCCGCCCCTTCGCCCCTGAAGGACACTGTTGCCCAAGGAACATCATCACAGAACCACAAAACTGCAGAGTTAGAAATGGGTCCCAAGGGTCATCTAGCCCAACCCTGCGCAATGCAGGTGCCCACCAACTTTTGCCCCCGATTGCAGCCCTTGGCACCCCCTGTTCCCCCAGCTGCCTTTGCTCAGGGCTCCTTGGCATGCCCAAGGACCGTTCTTTGGAGCTGACGTCTGCATTCAACGGAGGCTCCCCCCTGCCCTCATCCCTGGAAGAAGGTGGCTCTACGGCCCACGAGCCAGAAGGGGGGGCTGCCTGCCGACCCCCCTGATACCCACCGACGAAGGGGAAGGAGCCGGTGAAGATGAGGTAGGTGCCGTCGCTGTACATGGTGAAGGTGATGGCAAAGTACATGGCCAGGCTGCCCCAGATGAAGAGCTGGTTGACGGCCGTCCAGTAGGCAGTGTCCAGGCCCATCTGCAAGAGGGAGGCCAGGGAGAGCGTGAGAGAAGGAGGACAGCAGGAGAACCCGGGATCAGGCCAGGGGCCCCTCCAGACGCCAGTTCTCTCAGGGGCCAAACAGATGCCCCACAGGGGAGACCGGCAAGCAGCCCTCTCCTTTTCTGCATTCGGAAGCATCGCTGCCTCCTGGCTAGGAGCCCTCGAAAGCCCTCTCCTCCTCTATGAATTTGTCCAATCCTCTTTTAAAGCTGTCACAACACCCAGTGGCAGGGAGTTCCAAAGTTTAACTATGTGCTGTATGAACTATGTGCTTCTTCCCACATTCAGCTTGCCTGGATGCCCAGATAGTTCTAGAGAGAGGGAGGGAGAAAAACTCCCTCCCTTCCCTCCACGGCAGGCATCGTTTTGTAAACCTCCATCGTGTCCCCTCTTCCCTGCCTTTTCTCTAAACTGAAAAGTCCCCAGCGCTGCAGCTTTTCTTCCCTGGGGAGTCACTGTACAGTCAAACCTTGGTTGTCAAACATAATCCATTCCGGGAGCCAAGGCATGGCTTCTAATCCCCTCTCCCTCTTTCCTTTTCCCTTTCTCCTTCTGTGATGGAACTCCTATTTGGGGACTTCCCTGGCTTTTTTCTGGCCCATGTAGGACCAGTCTGGATAGTTGGCCTTGGTGAAGATTTGACGTTTTCATCCCCAAAGAGTTTTTGATTTGAGTTTCTACTGAAATGAGGCTGCATTTTAATGTTGTGTTTTAATCCTATTCTTAAGTTGTATTTTAATCAATTGTTTTTATACCTGGTGTTAGCCGCCCTGAGCCCGGTCTTGGCTGGGGAGGGCAGGGTATAAATAAAATTTATTATTATTATTATTATTATTATTATTATTATTATTATTATTAATTGGCTGCAAGAGCCTCTTGCATTCAAGAGGAAGCTGCATCAGACTTTTGGCTTCCAAAAAATGTTCAGAAAACGGAGCATTTGCTTGGGTTTTTGGCGTTCGGAAGCCAAAACATTCCAAAACAGAGGTGTTCTGTTTGACTGTTTCCCATTGCTCTCTCTCTCTCTTCTCCCCTCTGTTCTCTGCTATCTGAAGAGGTCTTCATCCCACCCTAAACTCCCCAAGGAACTCCAGCCTCCCAGAAATAGGGACAGGCATTGACCCTTGCTTCTCTCACTCCAGGCAAGGCCATTCATTTGCAAAATCCTAACCCCGCTCCCATATCTCCTGCCACCCCATGGACCACTTGGAAGTTGCTGAGGGTGTGAGCTCCTACCCCCCCCACTGAGGTCCAGCACCGAGGGCCTTCTGGCGATTCCCTCCCTGCGAGAAGCCAAGTTACAGGGAACCAGGCAGAGGGCCTTCTCGGTGGTGGCGCCCGCCCTGTGGAATGCCCTCCCACTAGAAGTCAAAGGGAAGAACAACTATCAGACTTTTAGAAGACATCTGAAGGCAGCCCTGTTTAGGGAAGCTTTTAATGTTTAAGAGGTTATTGTATTTTAGTGTTTTGTTGGAAGCCGCCCAGAGTGGCTGGGGAAACCAAGCCAGATGGGCGGGGTATAAATATATTATTATTATTATTATTATTATTATTATTATCACACCAGCATAAATTCTGGTCCACTTTAACACTCCCTGAAATATCCTCGGAGTCGAGAGTGGATTTCATGCTCTTTATTCAGCTCATAGTGGTGAGGAGGAATGGAAGTTCCCCCAGAATGTCTGCTTTATATACGTTATTTACACAATGGGCCCCCTGTGATTGGCTAATTCTGGGATTCACCTGTAGGCCAATCAGGTTGCAGATTCCCTTCTACCTGAAGCTGGATTGGGTGGCTCCTGTGGACCAATCAGACTGCTGCATCCTGGACCCTATTGTTCTAGGACCAATCAGACTGCTGCCTTTTGGATCCTATTCAACTCAGTACATAACACTCCCCATCCCAATATGTCATTTTGCTGCATCAGCTGAGGACGGGAAGTCCTGCATTCTCCCCACGGGCCTGGCAGAGGCCCCAGGGCCCCACACAAGCCTTGCCCATGGCAGGCGACTCCTTACCTGGACGGAGACCACAATGAGCAGGCAGGTCTGGGCCATGAGTGCGAAGGACTGGTAGTCGGCGATGGCCTTCCCGTCGCTCCTGAGGGAGTCAAAGAGGGTCCCGTAGGGGACGAAGAAGAGGACCAGGGAGCTGTAGACGCTGTAGAGGACGCACTTGACAAACTCCTTCTTGTTGAAGTAGAGGTTCTGCTGGCCAGGCATGTAGAGCTGCGGGAATTGCAGGCTCCACCGGTCATCCACGTCCTGGGGGCGGAAAGTGGAGAGGGGGGCGTTTTGAGATGGCTGGCAAGGCAGCTGTTCACCCCTCCTCACCCACCCTGCAAGATCCGCCCTCGACACCCACCACTTCTGCAAAGCCTTTAGCTCAAACTGGCAGAACTCACTCACCCTCAAACCAAAAGTAAGTTGAAGCCACGCAGGGCCAGCCCCCCTATGAGGCAACTGCCTCCAGGCGGCAGGACCAACAGGAGAAACAGATTCAGACGCAGATCTTTATCCCACCCCCTCCTTGCTCCGGATATAGATCTTCTCTCAGCCCTTCTTCCCTGGCAGGAAGGGGGCACCTTTTTGTGGTTTGCCTCAGGTGGCAAAGTGTCTTGAGCCGCCTGACAAACCATAATAATATGCAACCCTGCAATGCTTTCAGGGCTATTGTGATACAGACCCACATCTTTTCCCTTTCCCTCCATCTGCACAAGGCTGTGACGGGCTGTTTTGTACATGGATTAGAGATGGCCACCTTGATCGCTTCCTGCCCCATAGAAGAGCCCCATTCCAGATGGAACATCAGCATCTCTGACCCACCAGTTATTCCCAACTGACAGTCTGCTCCCCTGCTCTTTCACTTAGGAATGTTCTTCTAAGTTTCTGGTTTTATATACAGTCATACCTCGGGATAAATACGCTTCAGGTTGAGTGCGTTACTTCCGGGTTTCGCCGCTCACGCATGTGCAGACAGTAAAAATGACGTCACGCGCACGCGCAGATGTGCTGTTGTGTCTTACGTTCTGTTCGGGATGCGAACGGGGCTCCAGAACGGATCTAGTTCGCATCCCAAGGTAGCACTGTATAAGATTTTATTAAAGCTTCTCATAATACAGTACAATAAAAAACAGACTACAGTGGACCCTCTGGATACAAACTTAATTCGTTCCAAGGTCCGTTTGCACCCTGAAAATTACATAAATAGAGGTGTGCTTCTGCGCATGCATACGGCGCGATTTAGCGCTTCTGTGCATGCATACACAGCAAAACCAGAAGAATACACTTCCGGGTTTGCTGTGGCCGTAACCTGAAGATTCTGTATCCAGAGGGATACGTAGGTAGAGGTATGACTGTAATCCCCAAAACCCCAGAAAGAGCAAGAAGAAGAATTCAAGGTGGATCTTAAGCCTTGTATCACACAGAAATGGGAGGACCATCTTGACTCTCGCCTGAGAGCATCTCTTGCTTCCCCCATTGTCCCACCTCAGATGATCTTCCCTTCCCTGCCCCGCACTAAGGGGTCCTTCCCCTGTCATCCTTCACCAAGAAGCCTCAGCGAAAATTGCTTCCACCCACTGGTCTTAGCCTGGACCTCTAGGCTTCCAACCCTGGATACTCCCCATTTGGAAAATGCTTTCCTCCCCTCCCAGCCCAGCCCAGTGACAGGGAGGAACCCAGCGCACACTCCTGGGCTGAGCATGCCGGTGCCCACCTGCGCATGCCTGTCTACCTGAGCTGTGTGTGTGTGCTAAACACAGGGTGAGAGGCTGTGTGTTGGAGGGGCAGCCAGACCCCAGGGCAGCCAGACCCCAGGCAGTCACCCCGTTGGCAGGGCTGGGGCCAGAAACAGAGCCCTCTGCTCCCAGTTGTGGGGCAAACTCCTGACCGAACGAAGAGGGCAGCAAACAAATCAGGGAGCCGTACCTGGTCAAAGAGGCTCATTCCCAGGACAGGTAAGGAGGTGTACACCATGTTGTAAAGAGTGATGAACCATTCGTCATACACCGTCTGCAGGGACCAAGAGAGGGAGGAAATGAGAAAAGCCCCACGAAGAGCAGCAGCAGAGGCGCAGTCCCAGGGCCCTTGGGCCCAAGGGTGCGCCAGGTGGCTTCAGGTGCAAGTGGGTGGGTGTCCCAAGGGAGGGCTAGCAAGAGAGGAGAACAAGGCCCAGGCAGCTGCTGGGAAGCCAAGGGTGTAAATCTGTGGTCGAAAGACAGGGGCAGAAATAAGGAGCCCACAGGGCATGGTCTAAGGTGAGTATCTCAGTGGGGAGGTAAAAGGTAAAGGGACCCCTGACCGTTAGGTCCAGTTGTGGCCAACTCTGGGGTTGCAGCGCTCATCTCGCTTTACTGGCCGAGGGAGCCGGCGTACAGCTTCTGGGTCATGTGGCCAGCATGACTAAGCCGCTTCTGGCGAACCAGAGGAGCGCACGGAAACGCCGTTTACCTTCCCGCCAGAGTGGTACCTATTTATCTACTTGCACTTTGACATGCTTTCGAACTGCTAGGTTGGCAGGAGCAGGGACCGAGCAACGGGAGCTCACCCCGTCATGGGGATTCGAACCGCCGACCTTCTGATCGGCAAGCCCAAGAGGCTCAGTGGTTGACCACAGCGCCACCCGCATCCCTTTCAGTGGGGAGAACCAGGTGGAAATCTCCGCTCAGCAGTGAATTGGGGAGGGGGTGTCTGGAAATGGCCTCCTCTGTCAGCCAGGACAGAGGTGAAAATATTGTTGTGAATTTTTTTGGGTGGGGTGGTGTCGGTGTCAGTGTGCGCCATGCACCAAATCAGTGACAAATCAGCCTTAGTCCTGGAGTTGCGTCTTGAGGTGCTGCGTGCAACCACAGAAACTGGTTGGGGACTGCTTTGGCAAGCTTGCTCTTGGACTCACTACCCCCACAGATAGAGGAGCCCCAAAACAGGGAGGTCCTCAGGACATTGTGCGCGTGGAGCCCCTCAATTCACAACAATATTAAGGATCATAGAACTGTAGAGCTGGAAGGGATCCCAAAGGCCGTCTGGCCTGACCCCGTGCCGTGAAGGGATCACAGCTAAAGCAAGGTGCTGCAAGTTGGCAGGAGACCTTTGGAAAGGGAAGGAGCCCTCTGGTGTCACTGAACCCCAGGACTGCAGGAGCCCCTCTCCTGCGCCCACCTGCTCCCCGGGAACAAAGCTCTGTGCAAAGTCCCAGGGGTGCTCTGGAGCCCTTGGCGCCTGCAAAGAATGGTTGTGAGCACCCTGCATGACAGGGGGTTGGGACAGATGACCCTTGATGTCCCTTCCAGCTCCACAGTGATATGACAACATTTGGGAGGTCTCAGGTCTCAAGGTGGTAAGATTGGTCTCAACTAGGGCCAGGGCCCTTTCAGTACTGGCCCCGACTTGGTGGAACGCTCTGTCACAAGAGACCAGGGCCCTGCGGGACTGGACATCTTTCTGCAAGGCCTGCAACACGGAGCTGTTCCGCCTGGCCTTTGGTTTGGACTCCGTCTGACCTCCCTTTCTCTCCCCTTATGGCCTTGATCTATCGGCTACTTTTAAAATGAGGCTGCATTTTAAATTGCATTTTAACCTGTATTTTAAATTGGTTCCCCCCCCTTCCCCCCTATTATGTTTTTACTGTGATTTTATTCGTGTTAGCCACCCTGAGCCCGGCTCTGGCTGGGGACGGTGGGGTATAAATACTATTATTATTATTATTATTATTATTATTATTATTATTATTATCATCATCATTATCATCCAAGGCAGGAAGCTTCCTCCGCCCTTCCTGAACTGTCCTCTCCTGCAAAAGGTCCCTCCCTGGCAACAGGTGAAGTGCAAAAAATGAACAAGGGAGTGAAAATCTCAGAGAAGATGGAGAGAAGAAAAGGCGGAGGAAAGACCAGCTGGCCAGACATGGAAGGAGCCAGTGTGAACATGCAAGGAGGGCAGCAGCCAGAAAGAGGGGCAGGAGAAGGTGGGGCCCAGCACCCCCAGAGCCCAACGAAGCATTTTCCAGCTCGAGAAGATCCCAAGGGGTGCTCTGTATTTGGGGTCTGCACAGACCCAGCAAAGCCTGGCAGTTGAGCACAAACTGCTTGGAGGTGCTTTTGTTTTTTTTAATGGCAATCAAGCAATATATAATTTCTACACACACACACACACACACACACACACACACACACATTAACTGAGTAGCTCTGCTCTCAGGAGAGGTACCAGGGTTCTCAGTTCTTTCTTGCTCCTGTCAGAGGAAACGTTGGCAATTCCCGGCAATTTTAAGGGGCGGTCAGCAGAGAGCAGCAGAGGCCTGCCAGAACAGCCGCCCCGTGCCGACGGAACTCACCTGTGCGGAGAATCCGGAGAAGAAGCCGTACCAGAAGTGGACCAGCGTGAAGGCGAAGTTCTTGTAGAAGAAGTAGGCCAGGAACTTGCACATGCGGATGTAGGACCAGCGTCCGTGGACCAGCAGCAGCCGCTGCAAGTAGCGGAACTGCGCAAAGGAGAAGTCGCTGGACAGCACGGCCTGCATCCCCTCCTGGCCGCTGATGCCAACGCCAATGTGGGCGGCTGGAAGAGAGGGAGCCCGGAAGCAGCCGCGTCAGGCCGAGGGGGTCCAGTGCCCTGCTGCCCCCAGGGCCAACAAGGCATCCCCCTGGAAAGGGGGCCACAAACAGCAGCAGCAGCCTCTGCCCTTGTGCTTCCAGCAACTGGCACTCAGGGGCATCCAAGGGGGCAATAATTGGCATGAGCCTGTGCCCCCTGCCAGCCCCCTGCCTGTGCCCACCTCTCTTACACAGGTTTCCCCCACCATCTGCTTTCTTGCAAATAAAGTGGGGGAGGGGGGGTCGACTCTTGACTCATTTCATTACTACACCTCTTTAAATTTTTAAGAAAAAAACCTCAAGGCGCTTTACGACCTACATTCAAACATCAAACAGCACATTTCAAAACAAAACATACAGAAGAACATCAGCTGCACCATATACATTCAAAACGAGTCGTTAGCAGGAAACTGAAATTGTGTCGTAAAGATTTCAAAACAAAGCCTTACAAAGGAAGGTCGAGAACACACATTTGAAAGAGCATAATTAGCAAGAGAATAAGACATTATCGTATTAAACATGGATTGAGAGAGTAAGTAGAGATTCTCTTCCCATCAAAGGAGGGCTCTCCGCCTCCTTCTCCACCTCTGCAGAACCGGAGAAGAGTCTCCTGGATCAGGCCCGTGGGGGCCCATCTGGTCCGGCCTCCTGTTCTCAGAGTGGCCAAACAGATTCCTCAAATGGGAAACCTGCAAGCAGGATCCGGGCCCAAGAGCACCCCAACTCCTGGGGTTTCCAGGCACATTGCGGCCTCCAACCAGGAAGGCAGAGAATTGCCCTCCTGTCTAGGAGCCATCGATAGTCCTCTTCTCCATGGATATCTCTAATCCTCTTTTACATCTCCGGGATCAGGGCCAGAGAGAGAGCACAGCCCCAACCCCACTGGCCTCCCCCTTCCTCTTCAAATAGAGCCCACCCACCCAGCAGATTCCGCTTCTAGCGACAGTCCCAGGTGGGGCTCATCGTCCCAGGAAGTTGCTGTGGGGCACCCCTCTCTTGGGGCTGGGGAGCTGGGTGTCCTTCCCACCCCACCCTTGTTTTGCACCTGGGGTCCTTTTAATCCATCCCATTATTTCCCCCACTGCTCAGAAACTGCAGCATCTCGCTTGACAGCCAATTACGCACATTTAACTAATGAGAGCATTGGATGCACCCGAAGGCTGACGGGCTGCTGTGGAGATTTCTGCAGCGCAATGAGCCGATGAAGTCCTGAAGCTGCTTCTCCCTGGGACTCCTGAGGCTGGATCCTGCCTTCAGTGGCCCAGGTGCCCCCCCTCTCACAAAGGTACCCCCCCTAGCCTTCTGATGGGCTTGCAGGGCCCTCACCCTTGATCATGCTGACGTCGTTGGCCCCGTCCCCGATGGCCAGTGTGACGGCGTTCTTGTACTTCTTCACCAGCTCCACCACCTGCGCCTTCTGCAGAGGCGTCACCCGGCAGCAGATCACCACCTTGCAGAGGCAGGCTGTGCGTACCAGCTCCAGCTCCAGCTCCCCTTCCTGGGCATAGGCCTGCGAGGGAAGACACACACAGGGAGGGTGGGGGGACAGGAACAATGTGGGATGTGATACATAAGTAGCAGTCAAGTACAACATTCCTCGTTTTCCTAGAGTAGACATGCAGGGGAATATTTGGTCCAGCCAGTCAAAAACTTCCTGTTTCCTCCTGGCTGGGCCATACTTCCTTTGCATGTGACTAGAGGTGGGTGTGACCTTACCTGTCCAGGTAACAAAAGGACAAGGCACGCAGCACTCTCCCTCTTTGACTTCCTCCATCACTGGAGCAGCTTTTTAGCTAGAAATGCCCTTTTGTCTTTTAGCCGACAGAGGACACTGGGATTATCCCCATATGGGATAGACCCACGTGTATATACAGTGGTACCTTGGGTTACAGACGCTTCAGGTTACAGACTCCGCTAACCCAGAAATAGTACCTCGGGTTAAGAACTTTGCTTCAGGATGAGAACAGAAATTGTGTGGCAGCAGCAGGAGGCCCCATTAGCTAAAGTGCTGCTTCAGGTTAAGAACAGTTTCAGGTTAAGAACAGACCTCCAGAACGAATTAAGTTCTTAACCCGAGGTACCACTGTATCTGTAACTAAGTCTGCCTTCAGGGATCCCACTGTGAACTGATGTGAGTAAACTTCAGTACATCACACACTGCGAGGGTATGGATGCAGTAACCTGAGCATCAGGGCTTGACCCCACCATACACCCATCAAGTGATACAAAAGAGATATTTACATTTCTCTGTTTCCCAGCCAAGTTCATCACACCCTTTTGTCGTCACCTCGGTTTGTAATTGTTTCTGGAATGGCTACCTGTCTGGCACCCAGGTCAGGGGCAGAGGAAGGAGGGGGGGTGCGGTCTGCCCCGGGTGTCACACTGAGGGGGGTGATAAAATTCCAGGTGGCACTCACCACAGGGCCTGCAGCGTGCCCGAATCACGCATCTTTCCTGGGAGAGACGCAGTGGCTTGGGCACCCGCAGGCTCTGCGCTGCCCCAATGGTCCGCCCACTCGCTCCCTGCCAGCTGTAGGGCGACTGAGTAGGAGGAGGCAGGCAGACTCTAGAGGCCCCACAGTGTGCCCTGCCCCTGGGTACGCCACCCCAGGCGCCCAAGCAGCTTCCTCCGCCGCTGACCCAGGTGTCAGGATGCCAGAGATTATCACTCAGGCAGAGGGGTGGCTGCCCTCCCTCATGTCCCAAGCTACCCCCTTGGTAGCCATTTCCTTCCTGAACAGAACAACGTTGGAATGGCGTGAATCGGATACTGGAGTGATTTTATATGAATTTCTGAAGTTTCCCCAGTGAGCCAGTACATAGATACATTTATCAGTGATTTGCTGCATTTGGTAATGTACAGGAAAAACTGTGATTTGTGGGGCCATTTGCAGAAGTGATTGTGTTGATTTTGGTAGTGGGGGGGTGTACGATGTCCGCTGGAGGGGCCAACCCTCCTTTCAACCCTTACATAGATTCCTGCAACAGCGCCTTGCCACCTCCTTACCAGGCTGTGCCCATTAATGACCAGGCCGTATTCCCCGTTGGGCTGTTCCTCTGGCAAGACCTTGCAGTTGCCAGACTTCTTGACTTGGAGGTCCATCTCATCGTCATCCATGACGGCCTCCTGCGTCATCGTCTTCCTCGCTTTCCTAAGAGGAGACCCACAATAACAAGCACTGCGGAAGCCAGAGGGGAGTTTCCCCAAAACAGCAATAAATTTAATAAATGAAATAAGGGAATAATAACAAAAACGTTAGCAATATGCAAACAAGAAGCAAAGCCAGACTCCCACCCCCTAACTAGTAGACAAGCAGACCATCTCTGCTCCTCCCTGGGAGCAGGGCCTGAGCTTAGCAGCGCTCTGCCCACCTGCGGCTGCCAGCAGCTGGCAGTCAGGGCATGCTGGGGGGAGAGAGGGGCCCTCTTGCCTAGTAGCCCCCGGCAGCCTTGGCACAGCCTTGGATCTGGAGGGCATGTGAGATGTGATACATAAGTAGCAGTCAAGTACAACATTCCTTGTTTTCTTAGAGAGGACATGCAGGGGGATGTTTGGTCCTGTCAGCAGAAAACTTCCTTTTTCCTCCCTAATGGGACATACTTCCTTTGCATGTGACTAGAGGTGGGCGTGACCGTACCTGTCCAGGTAACAAACGGACAAGGCACGCAGCTCTCTCTCTCTTTGACTTCCTCCGTTGTTGGAGCAGCTTTTTAGCTAGCTATCCCCATACGGGATAGATCCACATGTATATACTTTGTAACTAAGTCTGCCTGCAGGGATCCAACTGTGAACTGAATGTGAATAAACTTCTTATATATATTTTACACAAGATGGTGGCGTGCTTATTCTTTTAAGAGGGATATAAGGGGACTTACCAGGAATCTAATATTAAGAGGCTTAAACAAGCTGCAACCAGCTACCCACTGTGCGTTTAAATGGGGAATGTGAAACTCTGCCAAGTAAAGGAACTTGCTAACGCAAGTTAGGAAGGATATTAATAAAGAATATATCCTCTCCTGCCTCCCTGAACATTCCCACAGGGCGGAGAAGCCCTTTACCTGAGTTCATGACGCACTTCCTCAAAGGTGTCCCCCTGGATGAAGAAGATGTCCTTCATGTCGTCGTAGAGCATGTTGCAGGAGTAGCCGATGTTCACGGCCGTCTCTGGAGAAGGATCACAGAATGGCAGAGTGGGAAGGGGGTCCTCTAGTCCAGGCCCCTGCAAGGCAGAAATCTCTGGCAGGGGCCCACTCAACTTCTGCTTCAGCAGCTCCAAGGAAGGAGGAGATGCACTCCGGCATGTGACCAGCTTTAGGGCCAGGAGGGATCCATCCCTGGCCCTTGGGGGACAGACTCTCCCTCTCTCATTCTCCCCTTTCGTGGCAGCACCACTGCCTGAGATGGCCCCTTCAGGCTGGGTCAGCTGACCTGAGGGCCCCCTCCATCCCGGATGGCCAGGCGGAAGGCAAGAGCCCCTCCTGCACCCCCACATTGGCCCAGGGATTCCTGAAGCTTCTTGCTCACTCTCCTTCTCACCTCAGCTTGGAGACGGCCTTGCTGGACTTCTTTTGGAAAACCCACCCAAACACCGGAGATGCTTCAAACACACATTTGAAGTTCACAGCTTTCCTCAAAAAAGCCTGGGACCTGTAGTTTGCAAGGGTGCTGTGAACTGTGGCTCTGGGAGGGGAGAACTACATTTCCCAGGATTCTCTGGGGGAGCTGATGGGCGTTAAATGTGTGTTGGCAATGCTTCAAATGGATTCTTTGCGGTTCATCTCATTTTTCTTGCCTGTGCTTCAAACCACGTCTATCCCCCCTGCGCTCGCTTTAAAGGGCTTTAACTTTTCAGTGCTCTTTGTCTCTTTCTCTTTTGCTCCTGTTGTCTTTGCTCTCCTCTCTCGTTACTCTGCTTCTCTCAGACCTCTTATGATCCTGATTTTCTCAGCGCGGTTTCCTTGGCGCATTCCTCGGATTTGGCCCCTCCAAGCCCACCTCTCTTTCCCAGCTCCTCCCATTTGCTGAGACAACTCCAGGATGACTTACGGCTGGTGGGAGCAAGGAGGCCAGCCTCACCCATTTTGAGATTCACCCACCAGGCGTTTCTCACCCGGGGGCAGATCAAGGGAGTTCTGCCCCACTGCGCAGGGAGCAGAGGAGGCCCAAAGTCACCCCCATGAATTGAGAAGGTGCTGCGGTCCTCTTTCCGCCCTGTGATGTTACAAAGGATTCTGGGATGCACCTCAGAAGGGGGCAGAATCAATTGACAGCTGTTCTTTGGGGGGGCTGAAAGCAGTGTATCATCTCCCCCTCTGGCAGTACCTTGCTTGTCTCCAGTGAGCACCCAGATTTTAATCTGCGCTTTCCCCAAGGTCTCAATTGTCTGTGGGACACCGTCTTGCAGCTTGTCCTCGATGGCCGTGGCACCAAGTAACTGCAGAAAGAGGGGGGGTCACAAAGGGGTGCTCTGAAAGGGGTGACCAACGGACACCCAGTGAAGTTCGGGGCCCACCCAGACTTTCACTTATCCTGCTGCTTCCCTCCAGGAAAACCCGCCCTATAGCGAGTTGAATTGGAGCAAATGACTGCTGCGTTTTCTGTGGATTGATGTTTGTTCTGATTCAACACTAGAGAGCGGGTTTTCTGGGGAAAGTGGCGAGGCAAACAAAAAACCACTCAGACTCCTGCCTTCTAAGCATGGGACATGGAAGGACAGGCGAGCCCCTAGGTTGAAAGATTCAGGATGGATGGAATAAAAATCCTTCATCACGCAGTGCAGGGTTAAACTGTGGCTCAGATCCAGTTTGTAGTGTTATAGGAATTCTAAGGTCCTATATATATATAAAATAAATGTTCATAAATGTACAAGGCAAACACATACATAAGTATATAAACCACGTGTCTGAAACAGTAAAGAAGAACAATCCTGAAGCATTTTGACTCTCCCAGCGACCTCAACTATTTCTCTGCAGTAAGGGAGGAAAATGGGGAAAGGCTTCCCGTTGTGTTTTCGCTTACAGATCCTGTCTTAAGGGCATATTTGTGTATGGATAGTATTTACCATCTCCAAGGAATGGCCAGGCTACCAGAAAAGGCAATTGATAAGGCCTTATCAGGTATCCTGGCAGACAGGAGAGAAGCGACACTCTCAAATTTCTGCCGGGGACAGCCTCCTTCTGTGATGTATGAATGATGTTTTGAGGGGTGGTCTTGAGCTACAGGGGAGGCAATTTCAAAAGTCTATATAAGAACTGCGTGGGAGTGGGGAGAGCACCCTGTTGCAACAGTTTAATAAGGATCAGGCTTACGAGCTGCTTTGCTTCTCAATATTCTCTGGTTTGCATCTGTTATTTTCCTTCTACCAATAGGGAACCTATTTTAGGACTCTATACGGGCTCTTGGATACCCCATAAGGGATAAAGGAGCAGTTTCTTCTTATAACAGTAGGTTTCCACAGGCAACTGCTCAGCCACGATGAGAAGAGGATGCCGAACTGGATGAGCCATTGGCCTGATCCAGGGGGCTCCGTTTATGTTCTTATGACCTCCCAGAAGACAATCTGGCCCAGCGGAGCCCTGGCTGGCCCCATTCCGCCGGCCTGTGGGGCTCCAGGGAAGCGTCCCAGATGAAGGCGGCTCAGGAAGGGGCTTGCAAAATGCGCTCGCACATAGACTCTTAAAACGCAGGAGCAGGAAGGAGCCACGCATCATTGCGAGTCCAGCCCCAGGGCTCAACAAAGAGCTTTTTAATGAGTGGAAAATCAGAAAAGGAAAAGAGAGGCGCCCACTGAAAGGGGGAAGGAGGACGTCTCTCCACTGGGGCAGCAAGAATCAGGCAGCATCTGAAAGGCAAAGCCAGGAAGGCACCAAAGGCAGGGGGCTCTCCTGTCCTGTAACTCGAACCCACTGCTTTGGGTCCTTCCCTCTGGAGCAGGAGAAAGCAAGCCTGCTTGTTATGTTATGCTTCATTGCCATGATTCTTTTTTTGAATGGGTTGACTGTTTAGAAATACTCGGACAAATTAAAATAAACAAGTAACAAGGGCATTCCAAGCCGCTCAAGTTGCAAGGCTGATAGAATCACAGAACTGTAGCGCTGGAAGGGACCTCAGGGGTCATCTAGTCCAACCCCCTGCAAGGCAGCAATCTCAGCTAACCCTCACCCTGGCTGACCAATCCCTATTTGCTCCTGTTCGGTGTCTGAGCCTTGAGCGCCCGGCTTCCCTCCTGGCACCCCCACCTACTATCAGGTCTTTCTCGATTTCTTCGTACAGCTCAGACAGCTTCTCCTCTCGGTCCTGCAGGGCTGTGCTGGCTTCATGGTGACGCTTCTGCCAGTCGGCAAAGGACTTCCTCTCCAGGTCCTTGTAGGCCACGACCAGCGTCCGGAGACCTTCCCCTGCAAACTCCTATAATAATAATAATAATAATAGTTTATTATTTATACCCGCCTATCTGGCTGGGTTTCCCCAGCCACTCTGGGCGGCTTCCAACAGAACACTAAAATACAACAACCTATCAAACATTAAAAGTTTCCCTAAAGAGGGCTGCCTTCAGATGTCTTCTAAAAGTTTGGTAGTTATTTTTCTCTTTGACATCTGGTGGGAGGGCGTTCCATAGGGCAGGCACCACCACCGAGAAGGCTCTCTGCCTGGTTCCCTGTAGCTTTGCTTCTCGCAATGAGGGAACCACCAGAAGGCCCTCGGAGCTGGACCTCAGTGTCTGGGTGAACGATGGGGGTGGAGACGCTCCTTCAGGTATACTGGACAGAGGCAGTTTCAAGGTCAGCACCAACACTTTGACTTGTGCTTGGAAACGTACTGGGAGCCAATGCAGATTTCTCAGGACCGGTGTTATGTGGTCTTGGCGGCCGCTCCCAGTCCCCAGTCTAGCTGCCACATTCTGGATTAGTTGTAGTTTCCAGGTCACCTTCAAAGGTAGCCCCACGTAGAGCGCATGGCAGTAGTCCAAGCGGGAGATAACCAGAGCATGCACCACTCTGGCGAGACAGTCTGCGGGCAGGGAGGGTCACGTCCTGCATACCAGATGGAGCTGGCAGACAGCCACCCTGGACACAGAATTGACCTCCATGGACAGCTGTGAGTTCAAAATGACTCCCAGGCTGTGCACCTGGTCCTTCAGGGACGCAACTGAGCCCAGGAGGGGTCAGGGGAAAGGAGCTCCACAGAGACTCCCCTTCTTAAAGCACCCTCTTTGTGGGTCTCACGAAGCCCCCAGGGGGTGGGCTGGGGTGGAGATGAAGCCGCAAGGGCATCGCTCTGGGGAGGCTCTGCGTGCAAACTCTGCTGCCAGCTTACTTCCAAGTACTCGGTAGTCTCCTCCTTAAGAGGTACACAGGAAGGGTGCAGGAGTTCGTACAGGATCGTGTCCGCCCCCTTGCAGTACAGGGTCACCTTGCCGTCGGGGCGACGCACTGGGAAGAAGGGAAGAAGGGCAGAAAATGAGAGGGTGCCCAGAATCGCTCCCCACCCTGGACAGACACACGACACGCGGGCAGAGAGTCAGAGATGGCTGGGGGGAGGGTTTGTCCCCTATTATGTATTGAGTTGTCTTTGTCAACTGGTTGGACAGTGTTCTTGAAGCTACAAACATGAGTCTGACCAAACTGCGGGAGACAGTGGAAGACAGGAGTGCCTGGCGTGCTCTGGTCCAGGGGGTCACAAAGAGTCGGACACGACTAAACAACAACAACATGTATTGAGTTGAATAGGATCCAAAATGCAGCAGTCTGATTGGTCCTAGAACAATAGGATTCAGAATGCAGCAGTCTGATTGGTCCTAGAACAATAGGATTCAGAATGCAGCAGTCTGATTGGTCCACAGGAGCCACCCAAACCAGCTCCAGGTGGAAGTGAATCCACAACCGGATTGGCCTACAGGAGAATCCCGGAATTAGCCAATCACGTGGGGCCCATTGTGTAAATAATGTACATAAAGCAGACATTCTGGGGGAACTTCCATTCCTCCTCACCACTGTGAGCTGAATAAAGAGCATGAAATCCAGTCTCGACTCTGAGTATATTTCATCCCCCTTCCTTCAAAGATCTAGTCTTCCTGGATGGAAGGGCCAGAGCGGCTCAACAGCAGAACATCTGCTTGGCATGCAGAAGGGGAGGAGCCCTGCCTGAGGTCCTGGACGACTGCTGCCCGTTGTCACTGCAGACCACACTGAGTGAGATGTGCCAATGGGCAGAAGCTTCCTAACTGTAGGGCATGGCATTTGTCTCTCTTCTGGGGTTTTCTCACGCAGTCCCTCAAAGGGTGTCAGAACTGGAGCTCTTGCAAGAGTCCAGCCCCCTAGAAGTTCCTTTTCTATAGCGAGCAGGTAGTGGAAATCGCTTTGCACCAATTCAAACTCCCAGCTGGTTGACACTGGTGGAAACAACTCAGCAAGAGCCACTCCACCAGGACACAAAGAGGAGACCCGGGTATGTGCAGAGTATTTCCCTGAGAACCAATCACAGGCGAGGCCCGGGGTTTGGGGGAGGGGAGGAAGGGGGCACACACCAATGACAGACATCCGCTTGCGCACATTGTTGAAATCCAGGATGGCAAGCAGCTTGTAGACGATCGTCTTCCCCATTTCCACCACGGTGATGGTCTCTGGGGTCCGGGCGCGGAAGACGAAGCCAAAGTTCCGGGCAGCCGTCACCAGGGCCCCCTCGTCCGGAGACTGCGCCTGGTAGACCAGCTCACCTGCCAGGGAGGGCGGGGGGGGGGAGAGGCAGCGTCACTTGCAAGGGGGAGGCGGAAAAGTCCCAAGCGCAGCAACCGATTCGGGAGTCTTGAGGGAACAGGCGGCCAAGAAGAGACTCCCTTAAAGTTCCTAAAATGATGCCTGGCCTGGACAAAGGGGAGCAGGGAGAGGTTTTCTGCCTCTTTCATAACCAGGGCCGGATTGAGGTTGGATGAGGCCCTCAGCTCCTGAAGGGAATGGGGCCCTTTATATGTCCAGCTGTCCTTTGTCAGCAACAAATTGTCACTGTTTTTTTGTGTTGAATATATGCTATATGGTAATTTATGAACCTAATAGGTATCTCAAGTCATTTGCACATAACAAAATATGTATTTTATCAAAGTAATTGTTGAACTGAAATACAATTAAGAAGAAGTATATTAATAGTGAAATCATTATTAAGCTCTAACTTAAAATGATTTTTATTCATAAAAAACCTAATAATGCAAACACATTGGCATTTGGCAATAACAAAAGTTCCTTTAGAAACACAATTTACAAAGACTCATAATTCAGCCCTTTGCACAGCCCTGCAACCAGTCCATGCAGAATGTCGGCACCCTATATATAGAAAGGAGCAAACCAGTGATATTTTAGGGAGCAGGCTAGCAGGCGAGGCCCATGACTTACATCATAGGAGCCTACACAACACAAAACATGGTTGCTCTATGTAGGTTTTATTTTATTTGGTTTTCCCCCCTTATATTTTGGAAATGTACATCCAGTTTTTTTCCTTTACATTTTTTGGGCCCCCAAGAGAGTGGGGCCCTAAGCTACAGCTTGTTTGGCTTATACGTCAGTCTGGCACTGCTCATTACACTGGAATTCATGGGCAGCCAGCGATGCTGAATGTTGGGAAGACTCAGGACAGATAAAAGGAAGATCTTCTTCATGCAGCACCCAGGGCTGATCCACACCTCCGTTTGCCTCCCTGCTTTCCTCGGGGGAAGCCTCATCTTTGGTGCTGAATCGGAACAAACAGCCATCAGCAGGCTGCCATTTGTTCCAATTTAGCACTAAAGAGCAGGTTCTCCAGGGCAAAGGCAAAACCCATGCTTAGAAGGTGCAGGACGAGCAGAAGTGTGAGTGAGCTCATAGCTAACCCGTGGAACTCCCTCCTACTGCAGGCAGGGATGGCCACCAATTTGGATGGCTTTAGAAGAGGGTTAGACAAATTTGCAGAATGGGACCCTGAGGGTCATCTAGTCCAACCCCCTGCAAGGCAGGAGGCACAGCTCCACCCCTCCCCCTCACCTGGCTTCTTCTCTTCTGGCATCACCGTGTGGCAGAGAGAAAGGAGGCGGAAAAACTTGTGAGTGATGACATCTCCCGCCTTCACTTCCTCCACCAGGCTTTGGTCGTAGAAGGAGAATTTGGGGTCAGCGAGGGGGTTGTAGGAGAAGTCAACTTTTGGGGTACTCTGAAAGAGGGGGGTGAGAGAAAGGTTGCCACCATGAGAACTTCTCTGGGCTCATCTGCCTTCCTTCCTTCTGGCTGGAGAAAGACCACAAAAGACCACGCAGAGGCTCCTCGTCCTTCCCAGGCAGCTGGCTGCTCTGGGGACCAGCCTGCCAAACTCCAGGGCAATGGCAGCCTTGCCCCAGAAGGTCCAGAACGTCCCCCGAGAGAGGAGAGGAAGAAGGAAATGTCCAGGAGGGAAGCTCAAGGCACAAGGGGGGGGAGTCGAAATTCCTTTTGTCCACTTCAGCCGCCACACTGGGACACGTCCTGGCAAGTGCCGGGCAGGGCTGGAACCACAACAATGCCCAGTGGCCCTGCCTGCCACCCTGTGACCCCTCGCAGCCCCTTACCTCCGTAATCTCCACTCGTTGTCCGTCCAAGTCAAAGACATCCCCTGTGGGCGAGAAGCACAGAGCCCAGCTGAGATGACAACAAACGCACACCTGGCTGTGAATTCCGGGCCTGGGCCAGTTTGTGCCAGCGGGACGACAGGGGCACCTGGGCACCTTTGGGACCCTGGCCAAGGATCTACAACTGTCCATCGGGAAGCAGGCGAGACACCAGGCCGGCATTGAAAAACAGGTGCAGGTGTGGGGCTCCAGAAGTTCTGAATGGTTCCTGTATTGGCACTTTATTTATTTATTGAATTTATTTATTTATTGAATTTATATACCGCCCTATACCCGGAGGTCTCAGGGCAGTTCACAGAAAAGATCACAACATAAATAATCAGAATAAAAACAACAACCCAATAACACACACCCACACCGAAAAGAGCCACATTTTAAAAGGGTAAAAAAGGTAAAGGGACCCCTGACCATTAGGTCCAGTTGTGGCCGACTCTGGGGTTGCGGCGCTCATCTCGCTTTATTGGCCGAGGGAGCCAGCGTACAGCTTCCGGGTCATGTGGCCAGCATGACTAAGCCACTTCTGGCGAACCAGAGCAGCGCACAGAAACGCCATTTACCTTCCCGCCTCAGTGGTACCTATTTATCTACTTGCACTTTGACATGCTTTTGAACTGCTAGGTTGGCAGGAGCAGGGACGGAGCAACGGGAGCTCACCCCATTGCAGGGATTCGAACCGCTGACCTCCCGATCGGCAAGTCCTAGGCTTTGTGGTTTAACCCACAGCGCCACCCGTGTACCCATTTAAAAGGGTATAAGATGTCAAACAGATCAACAAAGGCCTGGTTAAAAAGGAACATTTTTGTCTGGCGCCTAAAGGTGTATAATGAAGGCGCCAGTCAAACTTCCCTAGGGAGAGCATTCCACAGATGGGGAGCCACTGCAGAGAAGGCCCCGTTCTCGTGTTACCACCCTCTGGACTTCTCAAGGAGGAGGCACACGAAGGAGGCACACAGAAGATGATCTCAGGGTCCAGGTAGGTTCATATGGGAAGAGGCGGTCCTTGAGGTATTGCAGTCCTGAGCTGCTTAAGGCTTTATAGGACAAAACCAGCACTTTGAACTGGGCCCAGAAACTAATCGGTAGCCAGCACAGTTGGACATGGATTAGTATAATATGCTCAAACTATTTTGCTCCAGTGAGCAACCTGGCCACTGAATTCTACACCAGCTGAAGTATCCGAACCATCTTTCCTTCCCCTAAGCCACCCATGCTGACTGGGACTAATGGATGAACAAAATCTCGGGGGGGGGGGGACAGCAGGCCGGCAAAGGGTCCATATTCCAAAGGAGCAGAAAAGACTTTTAATGTATGCGACGACAGCCGCAGGGATGTTATTAGCCCAGAGATGGAAAGAAGACAAAGTCCCTAGCAGAGAAGAATGGCAAACTAAGCTATTAGACTATGCCGAAATGGCAAAACTGCCTAGAAAGCTCAGGAATCAAGAAGACCAAAGCTTTAATAAAGGATGGGGGGAAATTTACAATATATCTGGGAGACAGCTGTAAGCAGGTGAAAACATTAGCAGGATTGCAGTAACACAGATACTATGGACAAAATGGAGTGACATAAAATATGGATTCTGGAACAATATGCAATCGAAAAAGTTGACAACTGGAGCCATGGAGGGGAAGGTGCAGAGATTGGGAGAACTCCCTAAATATGGATATGTATTTTATATTGTTATAATCTTACACTTGTAAGATCAAATAAAAATTATTCCAAAACGATAAAGGGATGCAGCGGCCCCAGGAGAGCAGCCCCTACCGTAGATCTTTCCGTTGATGCAGCACTTGTTGAAGACCATGATGTTCTGGGTGAGGGTCCCCGTCTTGTCGGAGAAGATGTACTTGATCTGCCCCAGCTCCTCGTTGAGGGTGGTGGTCCGGGCCTGGGCAGGGGTGTCATTAAGGGGGTAGTACATCTTGCGGTCCCACTCGATGTAGAAGCTGTTGCCCAAACGGATGATCTCTACGCTGAACGAGAGGAAGGAGGGGAGACCAAGGAATGGGCTGGAGCCCTGGGCAGGAAAAGCTTCCTGGCGCTTGGGGTCCCTTTGCAAGCTGCAAGAGGCCATCGCAGAAGCTGCTTCCGGGGGGGGGGATCGGCGGGTGACCTGTGTGCAGAGGCAGCGTGGCGTAGTGGTTAGAACGCCATGCTAGGATTTGGGAGGCCAGCTTTCCAGGCACCACTTGAGCATGCGGCTTCCTGGACAACCTTCGGCCAGTCGTTGTCTCTCAGCCTACCTCACAGGGTTAATGCGAGGACCAAAGAGAGGAGAGAGAACTCTGCACATGCCCTTGAGCAACTTGGAGGAAAGAAGGTGGGACAGAAATGTAGTCCATAAACTGCAGCCCAAGCACATGCTGGGAAGCCAGAACCGGCTGCTCCCTCAAGGAAAAGGCATTCCTAGGTGGCTGGCCAGGGACCTCGGCCCCATCTCCCTCACCCCCCCGACCTTCCCTGACACAGAAGTCACAAGCATCCTCCCTGGAGCCCATGGAGTACAGTGGTCCCTTGGTTCTCAAACGCCTTGGTACTCAAACAACCTGGAACCCAAACACTGCAAACCCGGAAGTAAGTGTTCTGGTTTGCGAACCTTATTCAGAAGCCGAACGTGCTCTGTTTTGAGTGTTACACTTCCGATTTGAGTGTTACGCTGAGGTCTGTCTCTTTTTGCTGTTTATTTTGCATTTTTGTTTCTGCGGCTTTTTTGTTTTGTTTCTGTGACTGTGTGGAACCCAGTTCGGTTACTGATTGATGGATTGTATGACTGCAGTACATGGTTTATTGCTTTAATTTTATGGATCAATGGTCTCGTTAGATAGTAAAATTCATGTTAAATTGCTGTTTTAGGGTTTGTTGGTTTTTTTAAATAATTTTTATTAACAGACCAATCAAATCAAATCAAATCACATAAATTCCAAATTACAAAGTCGAATTTTAATTTTTTTGTTGGGGGTACCCATATTTCAAGTTCCGAAAGGGATCCAGTCATCTTGTTGTTGCTGCTGCTTTAATGTCCACAAATCTGTCCAAATAGTGTTCACAATTCTATCCAATCCTTTCTTGTTATTTTCCACATCTCTTCTTGTTATTTTCATATATTTTTCCTTTCTCTTTGTGACCTCTGAGAGTCTCCACAAGCGGGTTGAAACAAATTGTAATCCTGTGTGGGTTAGTTTTAGGGGTTGTTTTTAAAGGTCTGGAATGGATTCATCCATTTTGCATTACTTTCTATGGGAAATCGCACCTTGGTTTTGGAATGCTTTGGTTTTGGAACGGACTTCCGGGACGGATTAACTCTGAGAACCAAGGTACCACTGTAAGCGCGATGCCACGTCCGCTGTGAAGAAGGAAGCGGCTGAGTCAGAGCCTGGGCTTCGTGCCATCATTGCGGAATCACAGGAGAGAGTCACAGAGCTCCTTCAAAAAGCTCACCAGCCTTGCCAATGGGGTGGTTCCTCCTCCCCCCCCCGCAAGGGATGGGCTGCCAGAGCACACTGCCCGCCCTGGTTGGGCAAGAGGAGGAAACACGCCAGAAGGAGGGGCTGGCCCTCTTGGTGCCTTTATTGGTGCCCAGAAAGCGAAAGTAGGGCTGGAGGAGCAGTGCATGCTGGGACATCTCCCACTCCTTTTGGCTCACACTTGGACTGGCCTCTTCCTTAAACTACAAAATCCCAAATGCAGCAACTTCCTCCAGCGGCAGAGGAAGGGGGGGAGGTGGGGGCAGTCCGCCCCGGGTATCACCACTGAGGGGGGGTGACAAAATGCTGGGCAGCACTCACTGTGGGGCCTGCAGTGCACCCGAGCCACACGTCTCTCCCCCAGCTGTAGGGTGGCCGAGTGGGAGGAGGCAGACTCCTTGGAGGCCCCACAGAGCGTCCTGCCCCGGCTGGCCCCACCCCTGGGCACAGGGCACGCATGCCACCCCAGGCACCTGATCGGCTTGCTTCACCGCTGGCTTCCCCATAGAGGAGTCGCGACAACCTCTTGATCTTTGGGTTGCCATTTTCTGAACTTTTTAATATCCTTTTTCAGGCGAGGCGACCAGAACTGTAGACAGTGGGTTGTAGCCAATGTTCCACCTACTCAGAGTAGACCTATTGAGATTAATGGAGCTGAGCGAGTCATCACAATGGCTTTAGTCTGGGTAGAAGTAACTTCAGATATAATCCCAAGTGCATTCACAGCATTGATTTGCATACAGTGGTACCTCTTCACGTTACAAGCTCCGCTAACCTGGAAGTAGGTCTCCTGGTTGCGAACTTTGCCCCAGGATGCGAGCGGAAATCGCGCACCAGAGGTGTGCATGCAGCGGGAGGCGCCATTCGCGAAAGCACGCCTCAGGATAAGAACGGTTTCCGGATATGAACGGACCTCCGGAACAGATTCAGTTTGTAACCAGAGGTACCACTGTAATGACATTATGATCTTGACAATCTCGTTTTGCATACTTTTCCCAGGGCTCCTGAGCCTGGCTGCACATGGAGTCCCCATTGCCACATCTGCCCCTGCCAGGCCAGACCCTGTGAGGGTAGAGGTGCATGAGGACACGACGGCTTGTGACTCGTGAGCCCTCCACGTTTGGGGTTGGAATGCCAAACGACTGAAGGATAATAGGGAAGACTGTCAGGAGTGCATGCAGGAGCCAGGCCCTGTGACCAGTAGGGCTTCACAGGACTGGGGCCTTCCTAAGTTTGTTCTGGGGAGGCAAGGCGCGGCTGCACAGGTGAGGCCGCTTGGTAACTCGCTGCACCTGGTGGCAAGAGCTAGGAAGGGATATAAGGTCAGCATTTCCCTTCAGCTCTTGGCCACAGCAACGCGTTCGCTGCCTTGCTGCGTTTAGCTTCTTGCTTCCTGATCCTCGGACCTCGGCTCCTTGACTCCTTACTTCTCAACCCTCGGACCCTTGACTTCGTGATTCCCTGCTTCCTGACCTTCAGACCCCTGGCTTCTGAACTCTCGTTCCTGCTCCCACCCCACCATCTTGCCCCCGGTCCCGATGTCCTCAGCTGGGACTTTGATCGCCCATAGACCGGACCGTGACAAAGACACACACACACACCGGTGCAAAATGGGCCATTTGGGGGCTGGCGCAGGGCACGTGCCTCCCCCCCCCACTTACCTGACGTAGAGGGAGATGGGCACCACCGTGTTAAGGATGATGACGTAGGACCAGAACATGAGGAAGGCGGAATAGAAGGCTGAGTGGACGTCGTGCGGCCAGGGCAGGTAAACCTGGAAGGCAGAGCCTCTCTTGTACTCCCAGATGCTGTTGCCAATGGCCAGCACTGAGCACATGGCAGCCAGAAGAACAAAGATCTGCAAGGAAAGGGGAGGGCAGAAAGCAGAAGAACATCTATGTCCCACTGTATAGATGCAGAGTTTATGTAAAAGAACATTGTCAAAAGATCAATCCGTTGGCAGGTTTTGATTGAGCTTTGGTGCGTAAATAGGATAATTGTATAAAATAAAATTTATAGTAAGTCAAATAATATGGAGAAAGAAAAGTTTAAGTGCCTATTTAAGGAACTTAATCCGGGAATGCAATGGGAAGATCGGAGGTTGTGACATATTTAACCATAAATGGATGTACAAAGCAAGTTTAATTTCTACAATTAAACTATGGTGTAAAAACTGAAAATGGAAAGAAAAATGAGTAAAAGCGAAATAAGATGGAATGAAATAAGATGGAATGAAAATAGAACTGTTTTAAGGATGAAGAAAGTCAGCTGGAAGGAAAGAAGAACTGAAATATACATTGTTTATTATATGTTCTACATAAGTTTTTGTACTGGTATTGCTTGTTTTGCTTTTTTTAATTCATTTCCTGCCCTCTCTTTTCTTTTTTCTGTTCTTTACTATTTTTATGTTCTGTTGTATGAATATGTATGTTTGTGTTAAAAAAAGAAAAGAATAGCTTTCTACATTAGGCCACTGGCCCATCTAGTCATAGAATCATAGACTCATAGAATTCTAGAGTTGCAAGGAACCCCAGGGGGGTCATCCAGTCCAACCCCCACAAGACAGGAATCTCAGCTAAAGCATCCCTGACAGATGGCCCTCCAACCTCGGCTTAGAAGCCTCCAAGGAAGGAGAGAGCAAGGGAGTCTGCCGTGGTTTCAGTTGTGGAGGTAGAGCAGAGCCTTCTTGGCTAGGCGCCCTCAAGAGCCCTCCCCTCCCTTTGGAGGCACCGATTCTCATTTCTGGGCACAGGATGGAAAACAAGCCCCAGAGGAGGTTTTGCTGGTCCTGCAGATTCTTAGCTACTTCATCCGGTAGCTATTAGTCTGCTAAAATAGTTAATCCACGATACAGCATGTTGCACACTGAAAGAAAATCATATGAAAATGAAGTACCGGTGGTATTTGACTCCCACTAAGCTAGCAAAAATGTATAGGACAAGTACAAATACCTGCTCGAAATGTATAGAAAAAGAAGGGACCTTTTATCACATGTGGTGGACTTGTAGGGTGGTAAAAGCTTTCTGGGAGATGATATACAATGAAATGAAAAAAATGTTTTTTGTTAAAAAACCAGAAGAATTTTTATTAGGAATCATAGGTGCCAATATCCCAAAGGAGCAGAAAAGACTTTTTGTGTATGGAACAACAGCTGCCCAGATGAAGATAAAGTCCCTAGCAGAGAGGAATGGCAAACCAAGCAGATGGACTATGCTGAGATGGTAAAACTGATTGGAAAACTCAGATATTAAGTGGACAAAAACTTTATAAAAGTTTTTATAAAATCCATGAAATACCCCCCCCCAATGCCAGTAAATTTCTAACCCTACTCCCTAAATCTACCATCTACTGATGTGAGGAACCTTAGTTTCTGCCTGGTCCTTGCAAAGAAGGAGGGAAGGAATAATTGATTTCTGAGTCTCTTATGAATAAAATCCATGCATGCCCCCCTTTGCTGCTATTCTCATGCCCTGAGAGATGGAGTGAAGCCGCCGTTCGCACTCACCACCAGAACCAAGAAGTTCATCAGACGATCAATGCTGGTCCTTTTGAACGTGGTTCTTCCGCTGTTCTGCATCAACTTGGTGTCTGGCCCTGGCAGTTAAACAAAAGTCTGATTTTTTGTTGCACGGTCGGATTTTAATTTCCAGATCAAAGCACCTCCTGGGAGGCAGGAGACCCTGACAAATGGCAGCCATTGATGGATTTGAGGGAAGGCAAAGGCAGGCGGCATTTTGCCCAAAGGAGAAGCAGACACACCTGCGAGAGTCGGCCCCCTTTCAGGATGCAGAAGGGGCAGAGGGACCCCACTGCACAAAGCCACCATGTGGGATCGGGTCTGGGCATCCTGGGCCCTGTGGGAGATGCAGGTGCTTTGCAGAATCATAGCAGTGCAGAGTTGGAAGGGACCCTGAGGTTCATCTAGACCAACCCCTGCAATGCAGGAATCTAGGGAAGGGAGGCGCTTGGCAGCGCCATAAGCAGTGCCGGAAGAAATCATCATCATCATCATCATCATCTTTATTATAATTATTATCTTTTTATTATAATTATTATAATGATTATCTTTTTTTATTTATACCCCGCCCATCTGGCTGGGTTTCCCCAGCCACTCTGGGTGGCTTCCAACAAATATAAAAAATACATTAAAACATTAGTCATTAAAAACTTCCCTAAACAGGGCTGCCTTCAGATGTCTTCTAAAAGTCAGATAGTTGTTTATTTCCTTGACATCTGATGGGAGGGTGTTCCACAGGGCGGGAGCCACCACTGAGAAGGCCCTCTGCCTGGTTCCCTGCAACCTCACTTCTCGCAATGAGGGAACCACCAGAAGGCCCTCAGAGCTGGACCTCAGTGTCCAGGCTGGAAGATGGGGTGGAGATGCTCCTTAAGGTATAAGCTAAACAAGCTCTAGCTTAGGGCCCCACTCTCTTGGGGCCCCCCAAAAAAATCAAAGGGAAAAAACTGGATGTACATTTCCAAAACATAAGAGAAAAAACAAATAAAATAAAACCTACTTACAGCAACAGTGTTTTGTGTTGTGTATGGACCTATTAAGTCCATAAATTACCATATAGCATATATTTGACACATAAAATCAGAGACAATTTGTTGTTGACAAAGGACAGCTGGACATAGAAAGGGCCCCATTACCTTCAGGAGCTGAGGGCCTCCTCAAACCTCAATCTGGCCCTGGACACAAGCCAGGCTCTTTTCTGTGCCCCCCCCCAGCTGTGGGCAAAAGACCCCTTTCGAGAGCTAGAGGACACAAACCCCCAATTCCAGTGAGAGGGGCTTTTACATGGTTACACCAGAGACGTTTGGTCCCTTCCTCCTGCTTCTCTCGGCCAGCTGCTCTTACCTGCAAAGATGACCAGTCCGAAGCACCAGTCCGTGTTGCGGATGGTGCAGCCCCTCAGCAGCATCTTCTCGTTGTCCAGGGCATACTTCTCCCCCTTGAAGAGGAGGGTCCCCATAAACTTGTCCAGCTTGTTGTTTGGCGCTTCGCACTTGATCTCGCCTGCAGGCAAAGAACAGGCGCTCTGAGTCGGCACCGTCCGCCGCTGGCCAGAGTCCCAGGCCGAGCCTGGAGATCTGGGTGGACATCAGATCGACTGCCCTTTCTGTTGGGATGGAGGCAAACCCAGGAGCAGAGAGGAGCTCGCAGCAGGGAGGGGGCAGGAGGGCCTCCCCCTTTTCGCTCCCAGCCACCCTGCAAGGCTGAGGGTCAGTCCCTGGCAATGAGCTTCATAGCCAGGCAGAGATTTGAACTCGGGCCTCGGTGGTCCACCGCCAGCACTCTCTCTGATGCGTTTCCTCTTCTCCCCATTAGGAACAGCAGCTGCCCAGAAGGCGCTCAGGTGAGCTCAGGTGCTCTTTGCCCTCTCACAGCAAATAATAATAGTATTAATAATATTAATAATAATAATAATAAATTTTATTTATACCCCGCCCTTCAGAAAACCAGGCTCAGGGCGGCTAACAACAAATTTAAAACACTTAATTGTAATACAACATAGAAGCAGCATAAAATACAGTATAAAAACATGAATAACAATAAAATTCAAAGTTCAGAAATCAATTTGGGGGAAATCCATCCAATAAGCATTAGATAATCCCCAGGGCTAGCTGGCTGAATTGGTCCTCCTTGGGCCAGCAAGGAGGCCAGGGGAGAATTAGCTGTCAGGTCCCAGAGCAGGTAATCTTCATAAAAGGGGAGGGGGAGGGAAGAGAAGGGAAATAAAAGATCCGGCTGAATTCAAATTAAAGGCCAGGCAGAATAGTTCTGTCTTACAGGCCTGACGGAAGGAGGTTAAATCCTGCAGGGCACTGGTCTCAGGGGACAGAGCATTCCACCAGGTCGGAGCCATCACTGAGAAGGCCCTGACCCTGGCGGAGGATAGTCTGACTTCCTTAGGGCCTCTAAACTATGGTTATTCATGGACCTCTGCGGGGCATGCCAGGAGAGGCGGTCCCATAAATATGAGGGCCCTAAGCCACAAAGGGCTTTAAAGGTCAAAACCTGTGATTCCTGCAGAGGGTTGGGCTAGATGACCCTTGGGGGTCTCTTCCAACACTACAGAGCTAGGATTCGATGCAGCTCTGCCTGCTGACAGTATCAGCATCAGGAGAGCAAAGGCTGTGAGGCCACCCCACGCTCCACCGAGGGTCAAGGGCCTGTGTGTCCTAGAATCCTAGAATCATAGAGTTGGAAGAGACCCCAAGGGCCATCGAGTCCAACCCCCTGCCAAGCAGGAAACACCATCAGAGCACTCCTGACATATGGTTGTCAAGCCTCTGCTTAAAGACCTCCAAAGAAGGAGACTCCACCACACTCCTTGGCAGCAAATTCCACTGTCGAACAGCTCTTACTGTCAGGAAGTTCTTCCTAATGTTTCTTGTAGTTTGGATCCATTGCTCTGTGTCCGCTTCTCTGGAGCAGCAGAAAACAACCTTTCTCCCTCCTCTATGTGACATCCTTTTATATATTTGAACATGGCTATCATATCACCCCTTAACCTCCTCTTCTCCAGGCTAAACATGCCCAGCTCCCTTAGCCGTTCCTCATAAGGCATCGTTTCCAGGCCTTTGACCATTTTGGTTGCCCTCCTCTGGACACGTTCCAGTTTGTCAGTGTCCTTCTTGAACTGTGGTGCCCAGAACTGGACACAGTACTCCAGGTGAGGTCTGACCAGAGCAGAATACAGTGGCACTATTACTTCCCTTGATCTAGATGCTATACTCCTATTGATGAGGCCCAGAATCCTTAGCCTCAGGTTACCAGATTTTTTTCAATGAATCCATTGAAATGAGTCGGAATGACAGGATTTTGCCAGGGGACTGATTTGTAAATCTGGGGACTGTCTCCGGGAAACAGGGACGTCCAGTAACCTTACCTTAGCCACATGCCAGAAGGGGGCTCTGTAAGAGTCATTTCGGGTTCACCCCAAACAGCAGCCCAGGGGGGTCAGCATGGCAACATCCAAAGAAGGTGGGGTTTCTGCACCCTGGCCCCCCCACCTTAGTAGCTCCCCACCTGCAGCACAACATTCGCTCTGTCGAAGGGGCAGGTGTGCAGGGCGGGGGGCTGGGCTGGAGACCCTCCCGGGAGGCAGCTGCAAAGCCTCTCTCCATCTCCAAGGAGAGGGAGCCCAGCGCCCGCAGCTGCCAGCCATCTCCTCAACCCGGCCAGCCCTGCCCCTCCTCTTGCACAGCTGGCATACCCACTCTCCGAGGAACACCAGGCGGACGGGTGCAAGCGAGGCCAGAGGGCAGAGCGGGACTAGGACCCAGAGGGGTGAAGTGAAGCAGGAAAGGACTCGGAAGAGAAGCAAAGAGAGCAAAGATCTGCAAAGAGAAAGGGGGGTGTGAGGGAAAGAAACAGGCAGAAAGCAACACAGGCTCCTCTCCACCCCCACCCCCACCCTGCGGACAAGCCAAGGCACCCATGCCAACGCCCGGCTTGGGTCCTGTGTGAGCACACATGACCAGGCACCAGGTGCCACTCAGTGCAAGACATCTCTGTGGGGAGACAAGGAATTCTAGGCAAACTTCTGCCCCCCCCATGCCTGGCACGCAAAGTGCTCCACCATCCTGGGCAGCTTCCGCAGGGAACACTTCTTTGGCTTTCTCCTAGTGGGGCAGCAATAGACCTGCTGGCACCTTTGCGGAGCTAAGTAGGGTCCAGTATAGTTTCAAATTGGATGGGAGACAGCATGTTGAGATTCCTATGGTCACACGGGGCATTTACTGCAGAAGAGCCACACTTTTCTTCACTCATCATGATCAAAACATCCCTCTCCTACATTTTCCCACCAGAGCTCAGAAAACCAGTTTTTCTTAAATGCACACAGAATGGAATAGCAGTGCAATTTCCCCAGGTGCAGTTGATGCGTTGTGCGCCGGCTCAGTAACATTTCTGGCCAGCTGTGACCTGTGTCAATTGTTCTACCCAGTTCCTTCTCTATGGTTTCTGTCCCTTTCCTCCTCCTCCAGGAATCAATTCTATCACTTTAACCCTGCATTTCCAAATATCACTGGCACAAAATACCACCGTTTATTTTCTCCCCCACTAGTGTGCCAGATTGTGCCAAAGGGGCAGAGGCTGTGGCTCAAGGGTGGAGCATCTCCTTTGCATGCAGAAAGCTCCTCCCGTCCAGGTGCTTTTAGGACCCCACATCCCATCAGCCCCAGCCAGCAGGACTAATGGTCAGGGCTGAATGGAGTGGGATTCAGTTCCATCTGGAGGCACACAGGGTCCCCAAGCTGCTGGCTTCAGACCACCTACAGAATGGTTCACGTTTTCTGGGTCACTGCTGAGATCCCTCGAGAGTCCAGGACTGAAATGTCCAAAGGGCTACCGTAATTTGACTTTCTGGTACAGGATCCCTGCACAACAGCTTCAGACAACACAAGGCAGGTGGTTTAAGGAAGCTGAATGGCAGGTTGCTATCAGTGCAGAAGGGTGGACCTCAACGTGGATGATGCCTCCTTTTAAATCGGCCTCGGCGAAAGAGGTGGCACTTAAAATAGGGCAAAAATGGCACCTCACCCGCCTATACGGGTAGCCCATAATAGCTCCTCCTACGCACCAAACGGCTGGAGGGGGTGCAGAATGCTGTGGGGTGGCCATGTGGGAAAGTGGCTGGGTTCTGCGAGGAAGAATCTGTCCAATTAAAAAAGCAATTGCTGGACAAAATGTCCGGATCTGGCTCTCCTCAATCTTTTCACGGGAGACAAAATTAACTTGCAGCTCAAAACTCTAGCTAGTTCTCTTTCTGCTTGTAGCCAGGCTGATAATGACAAGATACTGGAAGAACTTAGGGCTCATTCACACTGCTGCTGCTTTCCCCCAGGAAATCTGTGTTCTGGCACTGAATTGGAACGAACAGCAACTGGGTTTTCTCCAGATGGGCAGAAGAGCAGGCTTTCTGGGGGGAAGTGGGGGACAAGGGCAAAACAGCTCAGACCTGTGGCTAGAAGGCACAGAGCAGGAGGAAAACTGCCTGGATCCGTGCTTTCTAGCAATGGAGAGGTAGAAATCTGGATGAACCCTCAAAGGGGCTTCTCTGATCATTGGAACAATAAACTATGTCAAAGAGCGATTACGAAAGAATTAAAGAATAAAATAAAATTGGCACAAAGCTTGAAGCCCAAAGACTCCTTTGTAAGTGATTGGCACAGCTTGGCTCTGGGCATGGCTAAAACGGAGGCTCACATTATAAAACTTTTTGCTTCATTGAAACTGTTCATTGCCTTCTCTATAGATAGAAGTCTGGGATAATAGCTTATTATGTTTCTGGGATGTTATTTGGTACAGATTGTCCAAGCACCAGCTTTTGGTGTCGAGTGGGATATGTCATTATTTTTCTGTATGATGTTATCTGCTGAAATATATATTTGTAATATATATTGAAAAATGGTTGGTGGGCCAATCTGACCTTCTGGCACAACCCCTACAGCTTCAGGCAACGCAGTGCTGGAGAGAGCGTCTCCCCCAGGGGCAGAAAGTGATCCGTGTTTCTCTGCCTCAAAGCATTCAGGGAAGAGCTGCCTCCATCCCAGAATATTGCTTCCTCTCCACTTCCCTGAATAGCACCAGAAACCCAAAGCGATAAAAACAGATGCAAAAGGTCATCCACACACCCCCCATCCTGGCCTCACACCCGTTGTTTATTCCCAGACTCCGGAGAAAATTGGCCTCTGCAAATCGCTTGTTTAAGCCTCGGACAGGGAATGGAAGGGTCAAGCCAGGAAGCCCAGGAATGAGAGGGGGGAACTTTGGGCAGTGGCCCAAAGAACCACCCCATCCAAGGGATTTTGCTGGGGTTAAAATGCCTGCCAAAAGGACATTTAAAAAACCCAACAACTGCTAAGCAAAGCCTTTGAAATATCCCTGGGAACCTCCAGGGCCCTGAAGACGGAGGGATCTGCACCAAGAATTATTATTATTATTATTATTATTATTATTATTATTAATACCCTGCCCACCTGGCTGAGTTTCCCCAGCCACTCTGGGCAGCTTCCAATCGAATGTTAAAAACAGTACAGCATTAAATATTTAAAACTTCCCTAAACAGGGCTGCCTTCAGATGTCTTTTAAAGATAAGATAGCTGCTTATTTCCTTGGCATCTGAAGGGAGGGCATTCCACAGGGCGGGTGCCACCACCGAGAAGGCCCTCTGCCTGGTTCCCTGTAGCTTTGCTTCTCACAATGAGGGAACCGCCAGAAGGCCCTCGGATCTGGACCTCAGTGTCCAGGCAGAACGATGGGGGTGGAGACGCTCCTTCAGGTCTACTGGGCCGAGGCCGTTTAGGGCTTGAAAGGTCAGCACCAACAGTTTTAATTGTGCTCAGAAACGTACTGGGAGCCAATGTAGGTCTTTCAGGACTGGTATTATGTGGTCTTGGCGGCCGCTCCCAGTCCCCAGTCTAGCTGCTGCATTCTGGATTAGTTGCAGTTTCTGGGTCACCTTCAAAGGGAGCCCCACATAGAGTGCAGGCAGGAGTCCAAGCGGGAGATAACTAGAGCATGCACCACTCTGGCCAGACAGTCCGCAGGCAGGTAGTGTCTCAGCCTGCGTACAGGAACTCATTTTTTTCCTGGCGTGTGAACACGCAAACTGCCTTAGGTAAAAAAAGGCCACCTGTCCCTCTTGCCCAGCGCTGCACCTTCTCCTGTCCCTTCATTGGCACCATCCCTGCACAGTTTCTGCCAAGGACTGAACCGCAGACCTCACACGGGGCAGTTGCCTTGCCCTGGGATGAGCCCCCCCCCAAACCACATGGGCCTCCCTGCCCCATCCTAAGTCCTTTTTGCTCTGCAGAGCAAGGCTGAGCTGCAAGAGTTGCTTCTCCCTTCCTCATCCTCAGGCTCTGAGATCCACAGGGCAGCAAAGCTCCCCAAAATCTGAGCCGTCCAACGCCAGGTCCCCTGGCCCACAATGGCCCACGGGGTTCCTTCCAATTCTAGATGGATTCCCACTTCAACCACGAGCTTAAGGTTGATCTGATTCCGCTTCTTACTCCTGGTATAGATAGACTCGAATCACAGAACTGTAGAGTTGGAAGGGGTCCCAAGGGTCATCTAGCCCAACCCCCAGCAATGCAGGAATTCCCTGGTGGGGAGGAGCACCATTTGTGGTTTGCCTCTGATGCAAAAAACCCCCACACATCTGGAGCATGTGTGCATCCAAGAGCAGCAGAGCTGTTGGCTGGAGCGTCAGGAGCCCCTCTCACCTGCAGCTCAGCTCCTGCCCCCCCAGGGCTCCCCAGCCCCCCTGCTTGTGGGGCTGCCAAGCTCCTCCCTTGGGCACTCACCATTGAAGCTGCTCAGCGCCTGCAGATCCTCTCCCAGCTCAGCCGTGACGGTCAAGGCTTGCTTCACTTTCAGGTTGGTTTCCCTGCAATGAGAAATTGGATCAGACGCAAAACCACAAGGTCCTTCCTTCTCACGCTTGAGTTCCCTTTTCTCCCTTATTTTATTGAAAGTTCAGAAAGTGCATAATTATATGTGCACTAAACATTGTGAGACGTAAATAAAAGAGAGAGAAAGAGAAGGAGAACCTGTGTAGAAGGGAAAATAAAGAGGAGGGGACCCCAAACTCTCTACTTTACAAGGTTGTTATTTGTACTTCACCAGATCTTAACCTATTACAGTATTTGTAAGAATGGATTCCAAATATCCTTTAATTTGTCTGTGGCAAGTCTGTGTTTATGTGCAAGTTGTTCCTATGTTGTGAGCTTGTATAAGTCTTCGTTCCAATCATAGAAGGGAGCCACGTTTTTATTTTTCCAATTCATCAGTATTGGTCTGGATCGTGCCCCCCCCCCCAATTTGGCCGCATCCTGCTCCTGGCAATGAGGGTCCCCAGCATGATCCTGCTTTGCACAATGGCTGCTGACTGCCAGCCATCATCCAGACAACCTTTTTCTTGAGCATTCATCCTGATTGTTTTGCACAAAGTTTGGACAGAAGTTGGTATCCAGTCCTTACTGATCGTTAGTTTGGCTTCATTTGCAGGGAGATTATGCAATAATGTGCATTCATTCCATTTTGCTTGTGGGATGCTTGTACATCGCTCTAACAATCCTTCCTTCTTTCCTTCCTTCCTTCCTTCCTTCCTTCCTTCCTTCCATACTTTTCTTTTTTTTAAAGTTTTTATTTATACTTTTCAAGTTTATGCATTTCATTAATATTATAATCAATTTAACATTGCAAAGTTTGACTTCCTTCCCCCCTTCTTGTGGTTCCTTAAATTAATTTTTTAACATCTTCTGCATATCCAAGTTCAGTTAATTTGCTCATTTAATTATCTACTTTAAATATATACTCTTATAAAATGGCAGGTTATTACAACAATCCTCCAATGTTTTTATCTATTTGCAATTTATCTGTAAATATTCGATAAACCATTTCCATTCTTTTATAAAAAGTTTGTTATCTTGATTTCTTATTCTTCTGGTAAGTTTTGCCATTTCTGCATATTCCATAAGTTTTTATATCCATTCTTCCTTTGCTGGGACTTCTTTCCACTTTGGGGCAAGTCGCATTCTTGCTGCTGTAGTAGCACACACAAATAAATTTCTATACCATTTAGGTAGTTCTATCCCTATGATTCCCCAAAAAAAGCTTCTGGGTTTTTTTTTACAAAAGTTATTTTAAATATCCTTTTCAATTCATTGTATATCATTTCCCAGTAAGCTTTGACCTTACCACAAGACCACCACATTTGGTAAAAAGAATGTTCTTTCTCTTTACATTTCCAACACTCGTTTGATTCCTTCCATACTTTTCAATGCATTTCCTTATCGCTTTCCTAACTGCAAAAAGTCCATTTATTTTTCGAGGTGGATTTGTTGTGCTGGGGCAGCAGAGCACTTTAATCCAGTCCAGTCTGTAACCAAACAGCAGTACCCAAATACAGGCGGTCATTTACCCTCGCTAGATTCAACGTGCTGCCACCTGCCTTATTGCAGGGCAGATTCAAGGGTAAACCGTACGTGGAACGAGTCTGCCCCTGCGGCTTGATGGAGGTAGAAACTGTCTCTCATGCCTTGTTACTCTGCTGTTTCTATGGGGATACACGCTCGGTATTTATCACTCCTGTTATACAATAATCTCCAAATGGATCTGAAATTCAATGTCTAAAACTCCTGGTAGAGGACAAGGATCTAGAGATTACACTAAGGGTGGCCAAATTCTGTGCGACTGCCATAAAACTTAGGGAACAAGCTGTACTACCAAAATGATAACGGTTTTAAATAACAATTTTAGGTTATATTTAAGTGATCAAGATTTAATATATATTTTTAACTACCGCTATATCTGAATTGTCTCTATTATACCCAATTGCAATTCAATGTATTCCTGTCGTGTTTTATGATTTTCCTGATATTGTAAGTGAGTCAGAAGTGGTCTGTGACCGTAATAATAAAATTCAAACAGCCCTGCAGATCTCAGCTCCGGTCCCCCAAAGGCCCCCTTCTTTGTGTTTGCAACTTCAGGGCTGCCATTGCATCAGCAGCTGCTCCAGGGAGCGACAATACTCACCCATCCAGTTCGGCCGTCTCAATGTAGGTCAGGCTGTGGGGCTCACTGCTGGACAGCAACAGCACGTCTGCCTGGAGGGAAAGAACAGCAAGAGGCAAGAGTGACAGGAGACCCGGCTCTTGGGGCAGAGCGCGTGGCGAGAGGCACCACCAACCTCCATCCATTCATCCTTCCTTCCCTCAAGAAAAAGGTCCCAGATTTTGCAACTTATTTCAGAGGGCAAATAGAGCCTCCTATGAACTGTGGAACTCCCTGCCACAGGAGGCCGTGATGGTCCCCAAGTTAGATGGCTTTAAAAAGGGGGTTGGAGATATTAATGGAGGATACAAAGTCTATTGATGACTACTAGCTAGGTAAAGGTAAAGGGACTCCTGACCATTAGGTCCAGTCGTGGACGACTTTGGGGTTGTGGCGCTCATCTTGCTTTATTGGCCGAGGGAGCCGGCGTACAGCTTCCGGGTCATGTGGCCAGCATGACTAAGCCGCTTCTGGCGAACCAGAGCAGCGCACAGAAACGCCGTTTACCTTCCCGCCGGAGCGGTACCTATTTATCTACTTGCACTTTGACGTGCTTTCAAACTGCTAGGCTGGCAGGAGCAGGGACCGAACAACGGGAGCAGGCATTCAAACCGCTGACCTTCTGATCGGCAAGTCCTAGGCTCAGTGGTTTAACCCACAGCGCCACCTGCGTCCCTGGACTCAGCTATACAGCTGCAAATAAAACAATTTAAGTGTGTTTTAAGTGCAATGCACAATGTGACACTAGAAGGTGATGGTGAGGCTTATGGAAAATTCAATGTATTCTTTAAAATGCTTTTAAGAAAAGAATTTTTAGAACTTTTAAAAATGTGTGTAGATTCCACCTCTCTCTTTCCCTCTGTGCCTGAGGCAATCATGGAGAGCTGTTGCTTCCCTGTTTCACAGGGCAGGGGTCTGGGGGGCCCAACTTGGTAGGACAAGAGTCCTTGAGCCAGAAGCAGCTCTGGAACTGAGTCTCCAAAGGAGTTCAAAGGCACCTTTGTAGCCCCAGGAGTGAGGGGGGGGCAGCTGGGCCAGGCAGCAGCACTCACCGTCACAAAGTTGTTGTTCTCCAACTTGATTATGTCCCCGACTTCGACATTCAGCCACAGATCATCCTTCAGGCTGGAAGAAAACCACACTTCATCAGCAGTTGTTGTTTTATTATGATTATTTCATAAAATTTCCATACCACTTGATTGTAAAAAAAAACAACCCTCAAAGTGGTTTACAAAGAGAATAAAACAATAAAATTATCAGTAAAAACACTAAAACATTGGAAAAAATGTTGTCTGTTTTATCCTGCCTCTTATATTAGCAAATTCTGAAAAGGCTGTTTAGCATTTGATGGACTCTGCTGCTCTTAATTCTCCGCAGTGCCTCAATTTTAATTTCAAGGGAAGGTGGGATATCAGAGGAAGTGTGTCGCATAAGCCGATTACAAATAAGTCCATTGGAAAGACAGGCAAAAGGTGAAGAGGAGAGTAATGAGAAAAGAGCCCCCACAGCGAGCCCTTCAGCCAGGGGGTGGGCCTGGCTTTGCAATGGGGCTGACAGAGACACCCGCAGGCAAATCCAGCCGCTTTGCCCCCTTCCCTGGTGGCTGAAGGGGGGCCGCATGCTCTGCACCCCCACCCCCCTCTGCCTTTGCTTCCTCTGCCTGGGAAAAAGAGCGAAGCAGCCCCCCCCCGTCACAGGGGCTGCCTAGACCTCCACAGCAGAGCCCCCAGGATCCCTAAGGCAAGGAAAGTCTGGCTCCATCCAGAAGGGATTCTGGGCGCATCTGGCGTCCAGCCACGCAAAGGAGCGGCTGTTGGGTTTCCTTAATATTGATGTGGCCAATGGTGCTACTCAGTGGTGTGCGTTTGTAATTATAACCTGCATGGCAGCACATCTGTGAGCGCTTAACAATTCAACACACCTGTGGCATCTTAACAATTTAACTAATTAGCGGGGGGGGGGGTTACCTGCTGCACTGAATGCAACGATGTGATAGGGTAATTGATTATTTTGAAAACTGTATTTAAGTTGACCAAATGCTTTGTATGGTACTGACTGGTGTAGAGCAGTGAGTTGCAGCTTAAAATAAAGATAAGCAAAGCTATTGTGGGCAAGTTTTTATTCCATCGCCCCAGTCGCTACGCAAACTCGGTTGGCGAAGAAAGTCCAACAGCGGCCACCTTTCTCAAGGGGCTTCTTGGGTCTGAGGTCCCAGCTCAGAGACTCAGGGATTTGGGGGTGGGGGAAGAAGGGGCAAGCGCATGGCTACCTTCCAAACACACTTTCCGTTGCTCTCAAACCCAGGTCCCTCGCCTGACCCACACTTCCACTTCTCCTAGAAAGATTGTGTCTGAGCAGTTTCCCCCTTGCCTTGCTCCTTTTCCAAGGAAAATGAAATAAACTCCGTGTAGAGCCATCGGTTTCCTTGTGTTTATTTCAACTCACAGTGAAAACAGTCTATCATCCTGTAGGCTATATATACTTTTTTGACACCATCAGTCACACGGGATAGGCTGATTCAAACCCCCCTCCTGGATTGGACAGTTCCTATAGGCCAATCAAGTTACTGCATTCTACAATCCTACCTGCGTATTGTTCTGGGATCCAAACTCAAGGCATAACAGAAAACCTGTTTGTTAGGGCTAAATCAGAGCAAACGGAGAAAACCTGAATTGCCATTTGTTCCGATGGAGCACTAAAGAGCAGTTTTCCCTGGGGACGGGGGGAGGGAAGTGTGGATGAGCTCTACATTGCCCTGCAAAGATGCTGGCAGCCTGGCAAGGCTGTCGCGAGGGGAGAGAGCCCTGCTCACCTGCCGTTCATCAGCACCTTGACAGGACGGTTGTTGACTTGCTTGTCGTTTGCATGTCGATTCTGGAAAACATGGAAGGCAAAGATGGAACCTGAACTCAAACAGGGAGTTGGAAGTTAGCCCTCTCCCTCTGGCAGCGTATCCTAGACATCAGTGTTGACCCCTTATGTTTTATTATGTTTTGTATATGATAGAGCGGCTGGGGCAACCCAGTCAGATGGGCAGGGTGCAAATAACAGAATTACAGTGGTGCCTTGGTACTCAAACGCCTTGGTTCTCAAACACCAGAAACACAGAAGTAAGTGTTCCAGTTTTCAAACGTTTTTCAGAAGCTGGACATCCTATGTAGCTGTTAGCTATTGTTTCCAGGGCGCCTGCACCAATCAGAAGCTGTGCCTTGGTTTTCAAACATTTTGGAAGTCAAACAGACTTCTGGAATGGAGTAAGTTTGGCGCTTTTGTTTTTGCTATTTATTTTGTGTTTTTATTTTTGAGGCTTTTTCGGTTAATTTGTTTTTGTGACTGTCCCACATCACGCTGACTGCAGAACGGCCAGACCTTTCCAGGCCAGGAAGGCGACGCTTGAAGGCCCACCGGGTGCAAAGAGGAAGCTGGGTGCTTGCTCCGAAGGGGGTCGGCCACAGGACAAGCTCTTTATGGGAGGCATTTGCAGGCTCAAAATTCTTACCACGTCGTCAATGGCGTCCTTTGCTGCCGACACGGCCAGCACCAAGATGAGGGGGACGACCGTGGTGAACCAGGAGAGGGAAGAAATCTCAGGGATGAGCTGCAGGGGGGAAGAACAGGCAGAGTCTGTCAGTTTGCATTTCTTAGTGCAGAAAGTATTGATCTGATGTGCAGAGATCTTTCCTATTCTACTTAATTCAAGAGGGTTCTGGAAGCTTCTCTGCGTAAAAGAAACAAGCAGAAGGTTCATGATGTTTGGGTTATTCCTTCTGGGAAGCTGAGTACAGCTGGTTTAAATTCTTCTGTTATCTCTTCTGTTAAAGTCATGCTGACAATAAGAATAAGGCCAGAAGGAGCCTTGGCTTCACTCTCTCTTTCTGTCTCTCTTCCTTCTGGTCTTCTGAACATAGTAAGTGTTATGGTTTAGACTTATTATAAGTTATTGTAAGTTTAAGTTAAGTCTGCTGCAACTGGACTTCTTATGGACAGGGCCAATCCTGAATTTTTTGCGTTTGTGACCATTATGCTCATTTACCTTCAGTAGCAGTAAAGCTTTGCTGCTTGAAATACAATGGCCTCTGGTCTATTTTTTGGGACTCCTGCAACGTGTTTAAGTTTTTACTCTGCTTACTATACACAGGGGCATAGGAAGGGGGGCGGTGAGCCCCTTGGCGTCATCCGTGAGGGGGGTGATGAAAAGGCACACCGTGGGGGGCTTGAGCCACCGCCCCTGTGCACAGGTCGTCCTGCCCACCCCCCGCACAGCTCACCCCGCCCCCGGCTGCACGGCAGGGCTGCCGCTCTGGGAGCCCATGCAGCCAGCTCCGCCACTGACTATACATTGGAATCTGCTCTGGATCAACATTGAGTAAAATTCCATGACAGAGGCATCCTAGAATTGCAGAGCTGGAAGCGATCTCCAAGGGCCATCAAGTCCAACCCCTGGCCATGCAGGAATCACAGATCAATATTCCCTGACAGACGGCCATCCAGCCTCTGCCCAAAAAATCTCCAAGGAGGGAGAGTTTGCCCCTTTTGGAGGGAGTCCGTTCCGCTGTCGAATGGCTCTATAAAGTGTTCATTAAAAGGGTCACCAGCCGGCTTTGGCCTGCTTCCCTGCCAGGGGCTCAGCGCACCGCCAACCAGGATTTGGAATGTGTCCCATCCAAATTCAGCTGGCCAGGCTGATGGAAGAGGGCGCCAGTTGGGGAAGGCTGCCTCCGGATGCGGAAGGGGAGCATCCCTGTGGCAAAAGTGAGGGAAGGGACAGGAGGAGGAGGAGCTGGGGAACTCCTACCTGCAGGATGAGGAGGAAGAGGAAGTAGGCATTGGCCACCCGCTGGAACTGCTCAAACAGGTTGAGAGGCAGGAAGGTGAAGACGTTGTACTTGGAGGTTTGGATGGAGTTTCTCTGCAGGAAGAAAAGGCGGTGATTGAGTCCAGGAGAGAAAGGGGCACCCGGTCCACTTCCCACCCCTTGGCAGCAGACAAGGAGGGCAGCACGCCAGCGACCCGCTCCCCTCCAAAGGCAGCCACCTGGTCCCAAGCTGAGCCACCCACCTCCTTGACCAGAGCCGGATCTACAAGGGGGCTGCAAAGAGGTCCTGACCCCACGGTTCCCAAATCCCACCCCCATTCCATAAACTCATCCCCTGTGTCCCACCATAACCTATCAAAAACATTATTCAGAACAGCAGCTTCCACGAACCACTCAGAAAGGTAATAACGCAATAAAATTCAAAAGAGTAGTGATCAATTGCACATTCATTCAAAATCCCATTAAAACCATTTGGTTTAATTATGGCAACAAAAGTATCAAACTTGATCCAGTACTATCAGCTTTGCAAAGTCATTTACACCTCCATCACCCTCCCTGCCTTCCCCTCGACTCTTATCGCCCACTAGGTAATCCTCCAACCCCTGGGGTGGTACCACGCACTTTGGGAGCCACTGGGGGTGGGGGAAGGTGACAACATGGGGGGGGGGAGCAGGAGGAACCGAAGAGAATTCTGCTAGACACCAAAAGGGTTGGGGGAATGGGGAGCAGGGTCTCCATTTCATCCCCACAAGCAATGGAGAAAGTGAGTCAGCAGAAGCCCCTCCCTGTCCCTGGCCTTTGCCCCCACTCCAAGAGTTTGCTTGCTGCCTCAGGAGAAACAGAGTCTTCCTCAGCTAAGGTGACATACAAAGAGCTGCCCAGTGTCAGGCTTCAGGGACTCAGCTCCCCAACCCCCTTTGGCAGTAGATAAGCAGAACAAAGCGAAAGGAGTCTCTTACCAGTTAGAAATTTTAATGATCATAGCGAGAGAACAAAGAATCCATTTCTAGGAATGAAGCTGCTCCCCCCTACTTCCCCCCTAATCACCCACATCACTTCCGTGTCTGGCAACCTGATCTCGCAACCGTGTGCTTTCTGTGCTGCCACCTTATCTGCTCTCCTTGACCTTGGGCTGAGCGGATGACACTTTCCAGCAAAAGGGAGTCTGTTAACTCTCTCTCCCTCCCCGTGTTTTGTCTCCTAGTTGTTCCCCACCCAGTATTTCCCAGCTTCTGCCTTCTGAGCTATGCCCCTCTGCAAACCACTGTTCCAAATCTATACTGTCCTCCTGCTCCTGGGAAGATTCAGGATCCTGATCAGGAGCAGGGGGAAAGGATGGCTCCCACCATTCTTCCTCAGCACGGTCCCTGACACCTGGTTGCTCTTATGTGGGTGTGAGGATTCAGGGGCTCCTCGGATGGAGGCAGAGAGAATGGGGGGGGAGGCTCGCTTTCAGATCCACCCCAAGTCAAGCGCCAACAACCATGTTTCCTTCTTGGCTGCATGAAAGTGCAAAAAAGGGAGCTGCTTTTTCGGAAGCTCAACCCACCTCCAGAGGCACTTCAGCAGTTCCATTTAGGGGCCTGCTGAGAGTTAGAATCATAGAATCCTAGAGTTGGAAGAGACCACAAGGGCCATCGAGTCCAACCCCCTGCCAAGCAGGAAACACCATCAGAGCACTCCTGACATATGGTTGTCAAGCCTCTGCTTAAAGACCTCCAAAGAAGGAGACTCCACCACACTCCTTGGCAGCAAATTCCACTGTCCAACAGCTCTTACTGTCAGGAAGTTCCTCCTAATGTTTAGGTGGAATCTTCTTTCTTGTAGTTTGGATCCATTGCTCCGTGTCCGCTTCTCTGGAGCAGCAGAAAACAACCTTTCTCCCTCCTCTATGTGACATCCTTTTATATATTTGAACATGGCTATCATATCACCCCTTAACCTCCTCTTCTCCAGGCTAAACATGCCCAGCTCCCTTAGCCGTTCCTCATAAGGCATCGTTTCCAGGCCTTTGACCATTTTGGTTGCCCTCCTCTGGACACGTTCCAGTTTGTCAGTGTCCTTCTTGAACTGTGGTGCCCAGAACTGACACAGTACTCCAGGTGAGGTCTGACCAGAGCAGAATACAGTGGCACTATTACTTCCCTTGATCTAGATGCTATACTCCTATTGATGCAGCCCAGAATTGCATTGGCTTTTTAGCTGCCGCGTCACACTGTTGGCTCATGTCAAGTTTGTGGTCAACCAAGACTCCTAGATCCTTTTCACATGTACTGCTCTCAAGCCAGGTGTCACCCATCTTGTATTTGTGCCTCTCATTTTTTTTGCCCAAGTGCAATACTTTACATTTCTCCCTGTTAAAATTCATCTTGTTTGCTTTGGCCCAGTTCTCTAATCTGTCAAGGTCATTTTGAAGTGTGATCCTGTCCTCTGGGGTGTTAGCCACCCCTCCCAGTTTGGTGTCATCTGCAAATTTGATCAGGATGCCCTTGAGTCCATCATCCAAGTCGTTGATAAAGATGTTGAATAAGACCGGGCCCAAGACAGAACCCTGTGGCACCCCACTAGTCACTCTTCTCCAGGATGAAGAGGAACCATTGATGAGCACCCTTTGGGTTTGGTCAGTCAGCCAGTTACAAATCCACTGAGTGGTAGCATAGTCAAGACCGCATTTTACCAGCTTCTTTACAAGAATATCATGGGGCACCTTGTCAAATGCCTTGCTGAAATCAAGGTAGGCTACATCCACTGCGTTCCCTTCATCTACCAGGCTTGTAATTCTGTCAAAAACGAGATCAGGTTAGTCTGACATGACTTATTTTTCAGAAATCCATGCTGACTATTGGTGATCACAGCATTCCTTTCTAGGTGCTCACAGACTGTTTGCTTAATGATCTGCTCCAGAATCTTCCCTGGTATTGATGTCAGACTGACTGGGCGGTAATTATTTGGGTCCTCTCTTTTCCCCTTTTTGAAAATAGGGACAACATTTGCCCTCCTCCAGTCTGCCGGGACTTCGCCTGTTCTCCAGGAATTCTCAAAGATGACTGCCAGTGGTTCTGAGATCACATCTGCCAGTTCTTTTAATACTCTTGGATGCAGTTCATCTGGCCCTGGAGACTTGAATACATCTAACTAGCCAAGTTCTTGTACTATCTCCTTAGTTATTCTGGGCTGTGTTTCCTCTGCTGAATCATTTGCTCCAAATTCTTCAGGTCGGGCATTGTTTTCTTTATCGGAGAAGACTGAGGCAAAGAAGGCATTGAGGAGTTCAGCCCTTTCTGTGTCCCCTGTTTGCATTTCACCATCTTCTCCTCTGAGTGACCCCACTGTTTCTTTGTTCTTCCTTTTGCTACGAACATACCCATAAAAGCCTTTTTTGTTGCTTTTAACCTCTCTAGCAAGCCTGAGTTCATTCTGTGCTTTAGCTTTTCTGACTTTGTGTCTACACATGCTGGCTATTTGTTTGAATTCCTCTTTGGTGGTTTCCCCCCTTTTCCATTTTTGTACACATCCTTTTTAAATCTTAACTCAGTTAAAAGTTCTTTAGATAGCCACCCTGGCTTCTTTAGGCACCTTCCATGTTTCTGTCTCATTGGTATTGCCTGACGTTGTGCTTTTACTATCTCCCTCTTAACAAACTCCCAGCCATCATGAACTCCCTTTACTTTTAGTATTACTGTCCATGGGATCTCACCCAGCACTTCCCTAAGTTTTATGAAGTCAGCTTTCTTAAAGTCAAGAAATTGAGTCCTAGTATGCTTGGCTGCTCCTTTCCGCTGTATAGTAAACTTCAGAAGAGCATGATCACTCGCGCCTAATGATCCTTCCACTTCTACCCCACTAACCAGGTCATCAACATTGGTTAGGACCAGATCTAAAATGGCTGTTCCTCTTGTTGCTTCTCCCACTTTCTGGACAATGAAGTTGTCTGCAAGGCCAGTGAGGAATCTGTTTGACCTTATGCTCTTGGCTGAGTTTGACATCCAACAAATATCCGGGTAATTGAAGTCCCCATTACTACTATCTCCCTTCCTTTTGCATGCTTGGCCATCTGTTCCAGGAAGGCATCATCTATGTCCTCCGTTTGGCTTGGGGATCTATAGTAAACTCCCACAATGAGGTCACTGTTATTCTTCTCTCCCTTAATTTTGACCCAAATGCTCTCACTTTGGCTTTGAGGTTCTAAATCTTGGATCTCTTCACAGGTATACACATCCCTGACATATAACGCCACTCCTCCTCCTTTCTTGTCTGGTCTGTTTCTCTGAAATAGATTGTATCCCTCCATTATTACATTCCAATCGTGGGACTTATCCCACCAGGTTTCAGTGATGCCTATTATGTCATATTTAGTTTGCTGTACCAAGAGCTCAAGCTCATCTTGTTTATTTCCCATGCTTTGCGCATTAGTGTACCAGACATTGAAGTCCATTAATCATTCCCCCGTGTCTCTTATTAAATGTCCCATCTCTGCTCTCCGCGCCTCTTAATCCCCTGATCTGGGAAGGTGCACCACACACTCACAGAGCCTCAAGATGGGGCCAGTGGGACGCAGCACCAGCCAGGGACAGCCCAGGATGCAGCAGAGAGAGGGGCCTGAGATGGCTAATCAGAGACATGAGCTCCACCATCATATAGAAGCATAGAATTGTATAGTTGGAAGGTACCCCCAAAGGCCATCTAGTCCCACCTCCTGCAGTGCAGGAATCGCAGCTAAAGCATCCCTGACAAAGCGCCATCTAACCTCTGCTCAGAAACTTCCAGTGCAGGAGAGTCCACCACCTTCCGAGGGAGGTCAAATGGCTCTTCCTATCAGGAAGTTCTTGCTAATGTTAAGTCAGAACCTCCTTTCTTGAGCTTTGAATTGGTTTGGGTCCTCCCCTCTGGAGCAGGGGACAACAAGCTTGCTCCATTTCCCATGTGACAGCCCCTGAGGTGTTTGAAGATGTCTCTCATATCACCTCTCAGTTTCGTCTTTCCCAGGCTAAATATCCCCAGCTCCCTCAACCACTCCTCATAAGGCTGGGTTTCCAAACTCTTGATCATCTTGATCGCCATCCCCCGCACCCCTTCCAACTTGTCAATGTCCTTCTTTTTAAACTTAAATCCTGTGGTGCCCAGGACTGCAAGGCAAAGGAAGACCCCAATCCCAAGCTTTTTGGCTGAACTGAGCCAAACCCAGCAGCTCTGGAAGAAGGCTCAGCTCACACACCCAGTTCTGCAAAGTTTCTGAATGTTCTCCCGGATGCATAAACAGGATGCAGGATTAATGCTTGCAAAAATGTGGAGACACATTTCTAGAGTGCCTCTAGACACAGAAAGGCTCGTGCAAATTCTTTCAGATGCAGGGCGATTCTGAACTGGGGGCTTAGTTGGTGCCATCAAGTTCTGGGCTTCTCCCTTGGCTGCTCAGACTACAAGAGAGATTCCTAAATTTGGGGAGATGCCCCAGAGAGCAGCTGCGCTGGCTCAGCATCCCCTGCTCTTGCCGCTTTTGGGGATTCGGTCATTAAGAGACGGTGGAGCTAAGCAACCACTCTGCAAGGATTGCAACGCACAGCACTGCCTCCACCTCCTTCCGAAGTGTTTTGGGTCCTCCTGCTGTGTTTAACAGGCGCTCTGTCTGACTGTGGCAGAGGGAAGATGAGCGGGTGATTAGCACTCGGGACATGCTCATCATTAAGCACCTTCCGTGCTGAGCTTGCCGTAATCCTCCCCCATATGATTGCTACCATTGCGTGAAGTTGCAGCAGAAACATTTTCTTCCCAAGGAGACCCGCCTCTGCCCTGCGCAAGCGCTCTGCCAGAGAATCACAGCACCATAGAATTGTAGACAGTTGGAAGGGACACCCGGGGGTCATCTAGTCCAACCCCCTGCAATGCAGGAGACTCGGCTGAAGCATCCCTGACAGATGGCCTTCCAACCTCTGCTTATAAACCTCCAAGGAAGGAGAGTCCGCCATCTTCCACCCTGAAGTCAAACAGCTCTTGCCATCAGAAAGTTTTTTCTGATGTTTATTCAGACTCTCCTTTCTTGTAACTTGAAGCCATGGGTTCGAGTCCTACCCTCCAGAGCAGCAGAAAACAAGCTTGCTCCCTCTCCCATGTGACAGCCCTTGAGATATCGAAAGATATTGGGTATCAGTCTTCTCTCCTCCAGGCCAAGCATTCCCAGCTCCTCCAACCATCTCTCAGAAAGACTCTGCCCTGGCTGACCCGGACTGGGAGGCAGTGAGAGTGACACGGAAAGGCATCTCATTCACCTCTGGGTGAACTGGCAGGCAGAGGCTGCAGCCCTGCTTCCCTGCCATGCTAGCTGTGATGTGCCAGCTCACAACTGGCTGGGGGCTCAAGACAAGCAGCCGTACCTGGCCTGGGCTTGCAATGGCTTCCTCTTCTCAGCTTCCTCCATTTCTCTTGCTGCACAGGAGCACATCCTGGGGGTGCCAAGAGGGCTGCAGCAGTGAGCCTTGGCAGGAGGCCCTTCATGTCACAGAATCACAGAACTGCAGTTGGAAGGGACACCAGTGGTCATCAAGTCCAACCCCCTGCAATGCAGGAATTGCAGCAACAGACTCTCCACTAGGCGCTCATCCAAACTCTCTTTAGACTCTCCTTTCTTGTCATTTGAATCCCCCATCCAGGGATGGGTGACTGGATTCTTCCCCTGCTGCTAAAGTCCACGGCTGCATAAGGCAGGACTCTTAAGAGCAGCCAAGGTGCCCACGGGGCGAGATCTATGCCTGGGAACTGCTTAGGATAGATCAGGCTGTGGGTTCTGGTCATGACAGCTTTAGTGGAGCTTCCATGTTCAGAGGCAGTCTAACTCTAGAAATCTGTGGCTGGGGAGAATCAGCACAGGAGGGTTATGGCCCTGCTGCCCGGCTCTTCATTGGGGCACCCTCTTGGCCACTGCAGGAAAGATGCTGATGCTGGGGATTTGCCCCTTCCCTGAGTCACTGCAGGAGTCTCCTGGTATTCTGAGCTCTTTTGCCTTGGCCCAGCTGCCTGCTTGCCAGCCTTGATGCTTGCAGGATAGCACAGTTGGTCAGAGGCTGGTGCTGCTGATCACACCAAGGCGGCAGGTTCAACCCCCTATGGGGCAGCTGCATGTTCCTGCATTGCAGGGGGTTGGACTGGATGACCCTCGGGGTCCCTCTACCATTCTAGGATTCTATGGCCTGGTCCTTCTCCAGGGGCATCGCATGGGAAGTGCTCAGTGGCCAAGCCAGGATCCTCAGCACCAGAGGCAGGGCCAGCCAGTCTGAGCTGTGGCTCCTGTGCCTTTAAGCGCTTTCTCTGCCCTTGGAAGAGGCACCCGGTTCTCTTTCCTCCACCCTGGGCAGCTGGGCTGGTTGACAGCCAAGGCCAGGCTGCCGGCCAGCCCGTTTCCTCCTCAAAGTCATTTGCTCTCCTCCTCAGCCTGGCCGCCTCCAGACAGGCAGCCCCCACCAATTGTTCTGCTCCCAGCCCCCCTTGAGCTCAGAGGAGCTTCTGGGAAGTTGTCTGCCGAAAAGGAGAAAGGGCTGGTCAGCAGAGGAGGAAGTGGGAGATGCAGGGGCTGGGCTCTCTCTCTATCCCAGGGTCCACCACCTTGACCAACTGGCTCTAGTGGGAGGACAAGCACAGAATCCTAGAATTGTGGAGTTGGAAGGGATCCCCCAAATGTCATCTAGTCCAACCCCTGGCAATGCAGGAACTGCAGCTCAAGAATCCCTGACCGAGGGCCAGCCAAGCTCTGCTTTAAAAGACTGTAGATGCCACTTGTTCAGAGATATGCCCGTCCTCAGCAGATAGGACGCCCTTCCAGAAAGCAGCTTTTGCTTCCAAAATAGCTCGCATTTGTACATGCCCCAAAGCGACCCCTTCTTTTCTCCCTCCAACGTCCTTCTCTGCCACGCTCACTGCTCTAATTGTTCTGTATTTGGTTTCCCCCTTTTCTTTTGGAATATTAAAAGCTGCCTTGTTCCTGGTCAGAGTTCTGACCCATCGTATGCCAGGGTCGGGCCTAGCAGGGTGCCACCTACAATTGGTACAAGGCAAAACGGCAAGCGCGGATACGCAGAGACAGAGAGAGAGAGAGAGAGAAAGACAAGGGCGGAGAGGGACCAGGTTTCCCTCCTCCTCCACCCAGCTAAGGAGATCTGTGAGCAAAGTTAGCCTTCTTCGCCAGCCCTTGTGGATGGTGGCCTTGGGCGCCACTGGGCAGAACGGTGGGACATAAATCTAAACAACTGCACATGCATTCAAAGGCGGACCAAAGTGCAGGCAGGAAGCTGGACTGAGCCCATTTCACTGAGAACGTGGATGCGCCTCCAGATGGCATCTGGGATGCAAACCCCAAACGGACCCCAGCTCGTGATTCCTCAAGGGACTCAGGTGTGGGTCTCGTGATCAGGATCAGGGTGCCTGGCTCCAGAGACAGCCAGCACCATGCCTGGACAGAGGAGCTTCCACAGAGCCAGCTGCCCCCTAAGCTGCCCATAAGAGGACTGGGCAAATTCACGGAGAGAAAGGCGCTCAGTGTCAGAGGCATTATTCCCCAAATGCCAGCTGCTGGTGGGCAGAGAGCTCTTGTGCTCATGCCCTGCTTGTGGGCTTCTCACAGGCAATTTGGTTGGCAGCAGTGAAAATGGGGTGCTGGGGTGAGATGGCTCTTCTGTGGCCTGATTCAGCAGGGCTCTTCTGAGGGTCTTGCGTTCTGTTCCCTCCTCCTCCTCCTTCCAGGCCTGCAATGTGATCACACCTTCTTCCTGCCAGGCCTTTGCCCCCCTGGGCTGCTCACCAGCCTGGGGGCTCCTGTTCTCACTCAAGCCTCCTGCACAACAGAGCAGCTTCAGGTGTCAGTTCGCAGCAAGGAGTGGGAATCCACAGCGCTATTTTGGGAAGGGAGAGGAGGCTTGGCGGATCTCAGGGCGACTGACAATGTGAGATTCGGAAAAGGTGGTGTGTGTTTGTGTGTGTGTGTCCTCGCGCAGGCTGTCAGGCTCCTTGGCTTCCTCCCTCTTGCCTCCTTCCTCCTCGCTCCTGCAGAGCCTTCTGCTCAGCTAATGCAGGAACAAAAAGGTACAGTCCGGTGACAGGTTCACACGGGAAGCTGAGGTTTCCCTGGCCCTGAGGCTCTGTGGCAGGAAAACGCCTCACGAGGAGGAAGGGGACTGGTTTGCCAAGTATCTTCAGCACCAGGAACTCGGCTGGAAGTCACTCTGCACGAGCCCAGAGACTCTCTCCATCTGTGGGGGTACAGTGGGGCTCTTTGCTTCCACGGAGGGCTCACCCACCCTTCAGCTTCTCCTGCACCTAAGAAGCACAAGTCTGAGCAACTTTGCCTCTGCCCCACCACTTCCCCCCAGAAACTTCATTGGGGGGCTGCAATGGGGAAAAGAAGCCCAGTGCCATGGCGCCAGCAGTGCTGTCCAGAGCTCCGCAATGCTCTGGCTGCTCCCCTTTCCTGCTTAGTGGGTGCTTTGCTTGAGTTCCTGCTTTTGCAGGTTTCCAAGACAGATCGTCAAGCTGAGGCTCCAAGACTTTGGCCACCTCATGAGAAGAGAAGACTCCCTGGAAAAGACCCTGATGTTGGGAAAGATGGAGGGCGCAAGGAGAAGGGGACGACAGAGGACGAGATGGTGGGACAGTGTTCTTGAAGCTACCAGCATGAGTTTGACCAAACTGAGGGAGGCAGTGGAAGACAGGAGGGCCTGGCGTGCTCTGGTCCAGGGGGTAATGAAGAGGCGGATACGACTAAACGACTAAACAACAAGACCCCATTGCCAGCTGGAAGAGCCGCAGCAAAACAAACACACCCAGATGCTATTCAAGTGCCCAGAGACTCCAGCTGGTCAGGCATCAGCTGCCCCCTGGGATGGGTCACCCAGAGAGCATCATGGCCAAGTGGGGAGATTTGAACCCTGGTCTCTCAGATCCTAGTGCAACTCTCTGGCGGTGTGTAAAACTCAGCCTGGCAACTCCAAGGTGCTCCCCGCCCCCGCAAGCTACCCACACTCTCCAAGTGGCAACTCTAAACAGGCAGCAGCTCTTGCTCTGTGACCATTTGGCTCGAGCTCGGCTGGCATACGCAGCTGCTGGTGCCCAGTTACTTACGGCATATTCAAACTGGAGGTTGAAGGCTCGGTCGTTGGCGCGAAGGTGCCTCTCATGCTCTGTGGATGAGAGAGAAGAGGTTAAGACAGAGGGACACAAAATGGGACTTGGACACAGCTTGGAGATGAGCTCTATGTGGGGCTACCTTTGAAGGTGACCCAGAAACTGCAATTAATCCAGAATGCGGCAGCTAGACTGGTGACTGGGAGCGGCCGCTGAGACCACATAACACCGGTCTTGAAAGACCTACATTGGCTACCAGTACGTTTCCAAGCACAATTCAAAGTGTAGGTGCTGATCTTTAAAGCCCTAAACAGCCTCGGTCCTGTATACCTGAAGGAGCGCCTGCACCTCAGACACTGGGGTCCATCTCCCGAGGGTCTTCTGGAGGTTCCCTCCCTGCGAGAAGTGAGGTTACGGGGAACCAGGCAGAGGGCCTTCTCGGTGGTGGCGCCCGCCCTGTGAAACACCCTCCCATCAGATGTCAAAGAAATAGTTGGAAAAGAATATTAGGCCATATTGGCAGACATGATATAATGGAATAAGTAAAAAGGAAGTGTAAAATGAGGATAGAGGAGAATTAAATATTTTTGAATGTTAAAATAAGTAAAAGAAAAGAAGGTAGAAGGAACTGCTGGAGATACGATCTAAACTAGAATACAAAGCAGGGAGGTGAGAGGAAGTCATGGAAATAAGTAAAAGGGAAAAAGGTTGTAAAGGTCTAATTTGATTTTTGTTATTCTTTATTGTGATGTATGTTTATTTTTTGTTTTTTCTTTTTCTGTTTTATTCTCTATTTTTTGTAACAAGTGTATGGTGTGTTTTTTCTCTTTTTTTCTTTGTAACTTTAAAACCGGAATAAATATTCTTTAAAAAAACAACAACAAAGAAATAAACAACTATCGGACTTTTAAAAGACATCTGAAGACAGCCCTTTTTAGGGAAGCTTTTAATATTTCATGAATTATTGTGTTTTAATATTTTGCTGGAAGCCGCCCAGAGTGGGCGGGGTATAAATAATATATTATTATTATTATTATTATTATTATTATTATTATTATTAGAGATACATGAAAATCATAGAACTGTGGAGCAGGAAGGGACCCTTATCTAGTCCAATGCAGGAATGACACTTAGAGAATCCCTGACAGAGGGCCGCCCAACCTCTGTTTAAAAATCTGTTTATCCATGTTCTTAAAGGCAAGTGTGGCCATGAGCTGCAACAGCTACACTCTGCCTCCAGCTGGCACTGCTTCTGAATCCCAGTTGCTTGTTTCCCACAGGCAGAACCGGAGGCTGGACTAAGTGGGTCTCTGGCCTGATCCAGCAAGCTCCTCTGATGTTCTCCCTCCCCAAGGTGTCTGTGGGTCCTGCAGCCGCTGGGGACCGGCTAGAGGTGGGATGCACATCCAGGAACGCCCTTCCTCTTCCTGCTTTACAAGCCACCTGCCGGGAGCCAGCACCACCGACACCAGGCTAAGGTCTGTGCAGAACTGATAAGGCCGGGACCCAAAGGTCTGTGCAACCCAAGGGTGTTGCCTGGGACAAAGGTTAAGGGTGGAGGAGATAAAGGCAGAGCGAAGATGAGATAGGAGTCATAAAACGGGACAGGAATTGCAAGGAAAGCAAGGGATGGAGGACACACCAGGACACCTTCAACTCCCTCCCAAGGAGGGAGCTCTGGGCGTGGATTAGGCCAAAGGGGGCCCATCCTGTTCAGAGACCTGTTTTTGGCAGTAGCCAACCAGAGAGGAAGCTCAAATGCAGGACTAGCTGCAACAGCCACGTTCTAAGCCTCTTGCTGTTCCCATCCTGTCTCTGATCCTGGAAGCCGCATGCATCCATCAAGGCTCCTTCCACTGGGGGTCTTCTGATCCTCCCCCCTCCCCCCCTTTTCAGCTGCTGTTGACCGCTCCCAGTCTATTCTGGACTCCTCCTCAAGGAGGAGGAACCAAAGAGCGCCAAATAAATACGGAGGGCAGAAACCTGAATTTGGCAACCTCTGCATACAATTTGGACAAAAAAGTTGGTTTCCAGGTGGAAAAATCAAAATTGGAAACAGAATTGTTAGATCCAAAAATCAAGAATTTGTCAAGAATGTATAACTTGCTGTTGAAATGGAATACTCAGGATGAAATGGTGAAATCAGCTATGATTAAATGGGCACAAGATGTTGGACATAACATAATGATGGATGACTGGGAACAGTTATGGACCACAGGTATGAAATTCACGGCATGTAATGCCCTAAGAGACAATTTAATGAAAATGATTTACAGGTGGTACATGACACCAGTCAAGCTTGCAAAAATTTACCATTTGCCCGACAATAAATGTTGGAAATGTAATGAGACTGAAGGTACATTCTTTCACCTTTGGTGGATGTGCCCAAGGATTAATACATTCTGGTAGATGATCTATAATGAAATGAAAAAGGTATTCAAATATACCTTCCTGAAGAAACCAGAGGCCTTTCTCCTGGGTATGGTCGGCCAATTGGTGCCAAAGAAGGATAGAACTTTTTTTATGTATGCAACAACAGCAGCAAGAATACTCATCGCAAAGTATTGGAAGACACACGATTTACCCACCCAGGAAGAATGGCAGATGAAGTTGATGGACTATATGGAACTGGCGGAAATGACTGGCAGAATCCGAGACCAGGGAGAAGAGTTGGTGGAAGAAGACTGGAAAAAGTTTAAAGACTATTTACAGAAATACTGTAAAATTAATGAATGTTAGAAAAATTTTGGAATGAAGTTATATGGCTTTAGTAGAAATGTTATAAGGAATTAAGTATAAATAGATTAATAGAGTATTGAAGGAAAAAATAAGGTTAGAATGTGTTAAGATAATTATAGGATAGAAAGCAGAGGAAGATGGAAAGGAATTGCTGAAACAATTAACAGAAGTGGAATACAAAAAGGGAGGTGTGAGGAGGTCGTGGAAATAAGTGAATGAAAGATAAGATATTGAAATTGTTTGATGTGTTTTAAACTGTTTTTGCTTTGTTTTGTTAGTTTAATGCGTTAGTGTTATGTAGCGTTTTTGTATTGTATTGTATTGTTTTTGTAGTGTTTAAATTGTTGGAAAAGTAATAAATATTATTTCCCCCCCCCAAAAAAAGAATTTGGCAACCTCTGATGGAATCCCACCTACAAGGTGTTGAGAACCTGGAAGGGTCCTCTGCATGGCAGCTCTTGAACCCCAGGGAGGGTGAAGACAGAAAAGCAGAGCAGGGAGATTTCTGGCACCCAGCACACAACTGAAGAGTTGGAAGAGACACCAAGGGCCATCTAGTCCTGCAACGCAGGAATCACAGCTGAAGAAAACCCCGACAGGTGGACATCTCATCTCTGCTACAAAACCTCCTGCGAAGGAGAGTCCACTGCCTTCCAATGTTGAGTCAGAATCTCCTTTCTGGCCATTTGAATCCCTTGGTTCAGGTCCTACACTCTGGAGCAGCAGAAAAGAAGCTTGCTCCATCCCTGGAGATCTCTGAAGAGGGCTCTCATATCACCGCTTGTCTTCCATGGGCTAAACTCCCTCAACTGTTCCTCCTAAGGCTTGGCTTCCAGACCTTCATCACTGCCCAGGATTCTTCTGCCCACAGAGCCAAGCCTGTGCCATGAAGCTGCTGAGAGACAGCAGTGGGTCTCCTGGCCCAGGAGAGCTTGACACCTCAAAGCACCAGCCGCCGCCATCCAGCCTGCCTCTCCCACCAAGGCCCATAGACAAGGCTCCACCTCATATATAAAGATCACTGCAGATGGTGACAGCAGCCACGAAATTAAAAGACGCCTGCTTCTTGGGAGAAAAGCAATGACAAACCTAGACAGCATCTTAAAAAGCAGAGACATAACCTTGCCGACAAAGGTCCGTATAGTTAAAGCTCTGGTTTTCCCAGTCATGATGTATGGAAATGAGAGCTGGACCATCAAGAAGGCTGATCGCCGAAGAATGGATGCTTTTGAATTCTGGTGCTGGAGGAGACTCTTGAGAGTCCCATGGACTGCAAGAAGATCCAACCTCTCCATTCTGAAGGAAATCAGCCCTGAGTGCTCACTGGAAGGACAGATCCTGAAGCTGAGGCTCCAAGACTTTGGCCATCTCATGAGAAGAGAAGACTCCCTGGAAAAGACCCTGATGTTGGGAAAGATGGAGGACACAAGGAGAAGGGGATGACAGAGGACGAGATGGTTGGACAATGTTCTCAAAGCTACCAGCATGAGTTTGACCAAACTGCGGGAGGCAGTGGAAGACAGGAGTGCCTGGCGTGCTCTGGTCCAGGGGGTCACGAAGAGGCGGACACGACTAAACAACAACAACAACAACATCATATATGAATGGCTGCCGGGAAGCCAGGAGGGGATTCTGACTGACCTTTGCCCATCTCCCTCCTCTGCCTTGGAGGGTGGCAGCCAAAAACCACCGCCCACTCTTCTTGGGGTGAATCCATGGTGTGACCTGGTCTGCTCAGCCCCCTGGCATTTATCTCCCATGGCCAATGGGTTGCCTGAGAGCAGGCAGTTTGGGGTTCGTAGTTAATGGTAAGTATAATCCCCATGTTTGATCTATCAATTGCTAGTTTGTGGGGTGCTGCAAAATGTGGGGGGTTTGCTGCAAAATGCTGCAACCCCCCAAACCCTGGCAAAACTTTGGCACAGGTTTGGAGAGGACCCCACATTTTGGGGTTCGTAGTTAATGAGTCTGCAAAGGATGCCTCTCAGCCCCTTGCATTTAAGAAATGGGGCAGGAGGAGGCACAACGACTGTCAGGTCAGGAAGACCCAGATTTGAATTCCCCACTGAAACTCATGGCTGGGTCAGGAGATGCACATCAACCCACATATTTGGGAGGAAAGGCAGGGAGGTGGGGAAAGAGTGGGGTTTTTTGTTTTTTGTTTAAGTACACTGGAGGGAATGACTCATCCAACCTCCGATTTCACAATGTGGAAAATAAACAAGATTCTCGCGGCAGAAACTGGAGTCCTTTCTCTCCGCTGCCCCAGGCAGTGAGATTTGGGAAAGATGCCACAGAGCAACATCTGGACAGTGGGCGGGACATCTGGGCTAGTGGAAGGGGCTGCTGCTGCCGAACACACAAACTCAATGGGGCATGAAGTCAGCAGCAACAGTGGTGGTGTGACAGGTTGCAACCTCAGCCCACCTGGTGCAAGAAAGGAGGAAACTGCCCAGGACTGAGTTGGGCCTGCCTAGCACAGAGATACCTTCTCCCCACCCAACTCCAGGGCAGGGTTGCGGTTGTGATTCACTCCAAGCTGCCTCCCTCAACGTAGAACACAAGAAGAGCCTGCAGGATCAGGCCAAAGGATCTAGTCTAGAATCCTGTTCTTGCAGTGGCCAACCAGAGGTCATAGAATCAAAGAATTGCAGAATTGTATGGCCCCCCCAGGATCATCTAGCCAGGGACAGCCAACTTCCAAGAGACTCTGATCTACTCACACAATTAAAAACTGGCAGGAACACGAAGAGGCGGACACGACTAAACGACTCAACAACAAAGCAGGTGTTAAAATCTAATTGAGGTTTCTGAATCTTGGAATATCCAGGCTAGCCTTCTCGTAAGGGAAGGAGAGCCTGTGGGGGAGGGCAAATGGGTGGGGCCCACCTGTTAACTCACAGGTAAGGGGAGGACAAAAGCCAGAGTTTAGAGTTGAATTTTGAGTGATGTTACCTAAAATCAAGGCAGCAAGCAGAGAGAGAGGCTGACTTCTGCTTGAATTCAAGGCTGCATCTCTGGGAGAAGCAAGACTCTTTTGGGGTGTCAGTGCTGTGAACCCCTCTTTCGCAGGCTCAGGCGGCATGTATGTGTCAACAAACCATCGATCATAAAGACACCAGTGTGTCTTCACTGCGCCTCATTCCCAAATGCAAACACGAACTCTGGGCAAGTACTTGGAACCCCTGGAATCTCCCACCATTCAGAGATTGCGGGGCAGCGCGCAATGCACATACGACCGCAGGCGCATGCAAGCACTTGTGGCATTGCGCCTCCGCTCCGCAAGCGAGTTGTGTGCAGGTGGCACAAACCCCCTTCTCTCGGCCACAGATCTTCAGAGCCTTTTCAAAAGCCATGTTCTTAAAAGATGCTCCCACAGGAGCCTCATAGTCTCTAAAGGAGGAGATGAAACCTTTAATTTTCCAGAGCGTCTTAAAATAGCACCGGTGCCGGTGGGAGAGTTGTGACACCAGTCCTGTCACAACAATGTGTTTAAGATTTCTATCCTGTTCTTACGCTGTGGAATGAGTGCTCAAGGATGCGCTCCGCGAGGTAAAATGTTGCGTCTAGTCCAACCTGCTGCAATACAGGCTTTGTTTATTCCGCTGCGAGAGATAACGCACCCTGGCACACTCGGACGCCCTCTTCCTCGCTCTGTCACCAGTGTCACGGCTGACACCTGGGTTCAAAGTCAAGGATTTGGGGGCAGCCCCACCCCCCAGCTCACTCACCCAAAAGGACAAGCTCTGGCCGCTCAGCCGCAGTCTTGGCCCTCCTTCTTGAGAGGTGGTGGGACTCCAGAGACCTCAGAGCCATTTCTGGTCTGGCGGATAACGGCTGGATTCATCCGCAGGAATCCAGAGAGCCTTTCTCCAGAGCAGGGGGGCCAAGACAGGCTGCCTGCCCTCCGCGAGAGGGTCAATGATTAAACAGCAAGAGAGATAAGGGGAACTGGAGCCCAGGGCTTCCCCAGACAGCAGGGCTTTTGTGCAAGGAATCCGCAGGGAGGACTGAATTGCTGAGCACGATCCAGCAAACACCTCGGCTGCTGGGGGTCACAATGTCTTGGTGTTCCCCAGGAGCCCCTAGGGAAATGTCTTTCTCCCGGCAAGCAAAGCCATTGAGGTTGCACTATGTGGAAGAGGGTTGTGTGTCTCAGGGCCCTACTGGTCAGTGTCCATGTCATCTACAAGGGATGGTTGGCTTTTGCTGTTTTGTGTTTATGATTTTTACCTCTAAACCACCTTGAGTCCTTATTAGGGGAAAAGGTGGGGTATAAATAATTATAATTATTTCTCACAATCTGATGTTTCATTGCAAGCCACCCTGCATGGACTTTAGTGGAGAAATGCAGAGTGGAAGAAATGGAAACAAGCAAAGGCATAAAGAAAAAGGGGCAACTCTCTCATGCGCCATTTAGGAGACTTGGGAGAAGTGCCCCTGTCAGTCAAGCAAACAGGCAGACCCCTGTCACAGCTACACCATCTATGCAGAGCAAACTTAAAGCACTTAGCCCCCTCCCCAAAATCCTGGGAACTGCAGTTGACCTCCTCACGGAGCTAGAGTTCTCAGCACCCTCCGTAAATCCCAGATCCCTCTGGTTAGTGAGCTGGCGCTATGGGGCCCTGACTCAAGTCTACTTTAGCGCTAAGAACAAATGCTGTTATTTATTCGCACCTGTCGCGGCCCAGGAAAGGAGGGCATCTAAACGGTGATATTGACGGCGGACACCGTTCTCACTCATGAATGCAGCATCTGACGGCACCGCGGGAAGAATCTACCCCATTTTGAAGAAATCAGTCCAGGCAAGAGAACTCCATGGCGCTGTGGGCGGGATTGATTGGCAGGTGTCTCTCACTTACTAAGGAGCTAGAGGTCCCCTGCAGAGAGGAGGGAGGGAGGGGCAGCAGAAGCATTATCCATTCGCTCACTCACACGCAAAAATTGTGGTCACATTACCGCAAGTCGCCACTGCTTCCTCTACCTGGTTCTAACTCCCGCCAACTACCTGGGAAGTTGATGGGTCTCCTAGAGTGATAAAGGGGAGGGACTGTGCCCCCCCACCTCCCTCCCTACTGGGAGGCCAAACCCAAGAAGGCTCCTCCCCATGAGAGCAGCCCAGCAGAGGCCACAAGCAGGTCACCTGCCGCAGGTGACTCAGGTAAGGGATGTCACACCTCAAGGCAGAGAAGCCTGTGACTTCAGGGCAGACAACCTCTTCTGCCTGCGCTAGGTCCCAAGAGCAGCCCCCACCCAGGGACCAATAAAGGGGTCTTGGGGACCCCCTTGTGCCAGCGGAGCCCTTCAGGTGCCACCTGACTGTTCACAACTAGCAATACTGGTTGGGGCTGGTGGAAGCTGTAGCCCCTGAAGCAGAGGATGCCAGACTTGATGGTTGGGCTCAGGAGAAAGTTCTGGGAGCTGGAGGTGATGGGGGGGGCTTGGATCCCTTGCACTTTGCATGCACATTGTGTCCCAGATTCATCCCCATCAAAAAGGTCTGGTGGTGTAGGGCTGGCCAAGGACCTTCCTGCGACCCAGGTCTTTGACAGCTTCTGTCAGTCAGCAGAGACACTCCTGAGTCAGATGGAGCAGGGCCAGGACTCCATAGAAGGTGGCTTGCTGGGTGGAGTCTGCTATTTGTGTTTCCCAGAGATGGACTACAGATGACTAGCACAGGTAACTGCAGGCAGGTGGGCTTTTCCTTCGGAGTAGCCCCTTTCGTGGCAGGGATGCTCCAGGGCGCCTTCGAGGCTGAAGTGACAAGTCCCTGCAGGAGGGGTGCTCCTGGTATAAAGGTGGGAGACCCAGCTAGGTAGCCCAAGGTCTTGTGCCCGCCAACACCACCCACTGCAAAGCGGAGGTGGACCTCCTGAAGCTCTTAGACCAGCTGCTGGGATTGGAGCAGGCGAAGTCTCCTGGTGTGCCAGAAATGATCTCCAGACTTTTCCTGGGAGCTCTTCTTTTGCCATCATCTTGGTTCTGGAAGTGGGGAAGGGATGGAGGAGATTCCCTGTGAGCAAAGCATGGGATTGATCCAGGAGAACCTCATCAAAGCTGGACTCAAAAGACCTTCCAGCAACCGGCCCAGGAGACTAACGGCCGACAAGTCCCATGAGTCCCTTATGCTCCACACAGAAGTTCAGAGGATGGTGGCAGTGTGGTGGGAGGTCTTCTTCTTGATGCTAATGCTGCTGCAACCAGATGTATTCTGTCTGAACCACCAGGGACAGCCTCCCTTTCCCAGGACAAAATATTCCATTTCACTCTGGGGTGGAGAAGGGTCACTCTCATGCCCTGTGCAAATATTTATGCAGGTGGGCCAAGGGACTTTCCTGCTTCTCTGTGATTTACTTAATAGTGAGATTCCCAGTATCTGCCCTGCATCCCCCAACCCCCAGGCCACCTGCACCTCTTTCGAAGCCCATCTCCTCCTCTTCCTCCTCCTGTTTCCTCCTGTTCTGCCCTTTGCCACTCCTATGGCAGAAAGCAAAACCAGCAGCTGCTTCACTTCCTCCTGGAAGCCCAAATGCCATGCAAACAGCACCTCCAGCACCTGCAGGCCTTGGTCAGCCTTGGCCAACCTGGTGCCTTCCAGATGTTCTGGACTCTTAGCTTCTATCAGTCCCAGCCAGCCTGACCAAGGCTTCCTTGTGAGAGCCAGTGTGGTGTAGTGGTTAAGAGCAGTGGACTCGTAATCTGGTGAACCGGGTTCGCGTCTCCGCTCCTCCACGTGCAGCTGCTGGGTGACCTTGGGCTAGTCACACTTCTCTGAAGTCTCTCAGCCCCACTCACCTCACAGAGGGTTTGTTGTGGGGGAGGAAGGGAAAGGAGAATGTGAGCCGCTTTGAGACTCCTTAAAGGTGCTTTCGAACTGCTAGGTTGGCAGGAGCAGGGACTGAGCAACAGGAGCTCACCCCGTCGCAGGGATTCGAACCACTGACCTGATCGGCAAGCCCTAGCTCTGTGGAGCCTCCCATGTCTTTTGAGACTCCTTAGGGTAGTGATAAAGTGGGATATCAGATCCAAACTCCTCCTCCTCTTCTTCTTCTTCTTCTTCTTCTTCTTCTTCTTCTTCTTCTTCTTCTTCTTCTTCTTCCTAGGCATTGGAGATCCAGGCCTGAAGAGTCCAGAACATCTGGAGGGAAGGAGGTTGGGGAGTTCCCCTAAGAAGCAGAGAAGGTGCCCCGATAGGAAGCTCCCAAGCACCCCCCTTCCCAGGCTGGTCTTTGCTTTCTCTCCTCCTGCTCAGATCCACACAAAGAGCTGTGGGGGGGGGGGGAGCAACACATTCATCTCTCCAAAGGAGAACCCAAACTCCTGCTGCAGAGTTTCACAGCACCTTGTTCCCACAAGAGGCTCAGTCCCTCCCTAAATATCCACATCTGAAAAAGGACAGGAGGAAGGAGGTGATGTTCCACCTCGGCTAAGAGGCTCTTCTGTTATCAGTTCTGCCTCCAGGAGGGACGGCTGCTGCTTGCATGGCTTCAAGGGCACAGACAGCGACTCCGACTCCAACTCCTCCTCTTAAGTTGGGCAAGGGCCAAGTGGGGTTTTCCATCTTCTGCCGGGATCCTTTGACTTTCCAGTAAATGTCTCTGCTGGCCTTTGTTCTCTTCGAAAGCCTTTGCTCTGTCCACCTTTTCCCATGAAGCCGGGAGAAGTGCAAAGAAAAGCAGGAAACGGTCAAGGCGGAGAAGGCTGAGCCAGAGGCCAGCCAGGAAACAGACAAACCCCTTTTCGTCTTCCAGCTCCAAATGTGGGAATAAATTGATGTGTTTGGAGCTGCGCCTAAGCAACAAGGCCAGAAAGTGGAAAGGCGAGGGGGCTCCTGAAGGGGCTTTGCTATACTGGAAGCCCCTTCCCATCTTGGTCTTTGCAAGGCAGCTGAAGAAGGGCTATAAAGGGCTCCTAGCCAGGATGACTCTGCTTTGCCTCCACAGTCAGAGGCAGCGATGCTTTTTCCAGTTGCTGGAAATGGCAGGAGAACTTTTCTGCTTGAACGCTGCTTGCAGGTTTCCCAAAGAGGCACCTAGAACAGGATGCTCAGCTAGAGGGGTCACTGGCCGGGTCCACAGACTCTTCTTACATTCTCAACTTTCCTCGGCTGCAAGCCAGGGCTCGGCTCTTCTGTGTGTGCCGCTTGACCCATCATCACATGCCACGGCCACCAGGTCACAGAGGCCAAAGGAGCCCCAGCTGTGGCCCAGCACAGCCCCTAGCCAGCCTTGGGCAGGTCCTTCGCTAGTTGGGCTGCTGGACCTCAGAGAGACTGATGTGGTTCTGCCTCGGATTCTGTGCTGCTCACGTGGTCCCCCTGAGGCTTCCTGATTCAGGAGCTACAACAAGGCACACTCAGCCTCTTTCTCATAACTCACAGCATCTCCTCGGAGCCAGAGCTCAGGGAAGGTTTGTTCTGGAAGCTACTAGCCAAGCCCAGGAGCAGAGGAAGCTGCCACCAGCCCATCTTCTGCACCCGCTGCCTGGCAGGGTCTCCGCCTCGGTCTTTCCAAGCCCTTCCTGAAGGTCTCCTGGCTGAAGCCAGGACCCCCCCCCCCCGCATGCAAAGCTCTAGCTCCCACTGAGCTCAGGCCCACCCCAAACCTGTTTCCCACCCGCCTGGCCTGAGGCTACAGAACAGGCTTCCACCCGCCCCCACCCCATCCTTTGCAGCATTAGGGGTTGTGGTCTTTTCAAAAGAGGGAATTGTTTCGGAAGGGTGAGGGGAGGGAGACCTACTTCAGCTCAGACATCCTGCGCTTTCCTTCTGGATATTTGCTCTTCTCATCTTTTCCCCTGGCCAAATCAGCTCCCCGGACGCTGTCATACGCAGCCCCCCTAAATCGTAAACATACATTTATTGGAGGTTTCCCCAGGAAAGCAGCTCTGCCCAGCCACTCTCTCCAGCCACAGCCAGCGGGGGGGGGGGGCGATTGTGGGGGGATGGGTGCCCTGCACCCTCTCCTGAGTTGGCAGGATGTGGGGGGGGGGGGGTCTGAGGAAGAGAGAGCTGGGAAAGTTCTAAGAAAGGGAAAGTCAGTTGGTGGCAGTTGGAGGGAGAGGGAGGCCAGGAGAGACTGAAGGGAGGAGGAAGAGGAAGACAGGAAGGACCCAAAGGGGGCTTGCAAGACACGGGAACTATTCATGGCGCCACTGTTACATAATGAGGGTGTTTTGAAAGCCATTTGAGGTCTGGTTCATGTGTGCTATCGACTGCTTGCGTTTAAACTGTTTTAAACCACAGCACAAAGAAATATAGGTAAGCTTTCCTTGGAATAAAGATCACTGGGCAGCCTTGAATCTCCCCCACCCCACCCCACCCCACCCCCCAACTGAGAAATAAACCTCGCAGGAGCAGCCAAGCCCCACCTTCCCTCCTGCATAAAAGGGGCAGACCAATTTCCAAACATCTCTTGGCCAGGGCGAGCGAAGGGGGACTTTGCGTGGACAAGTCAAAGCCTTTCAGAGGAGGAATCAGCAGGCAATGATCTGGCAGGTTGCACAATTTCCTCCCTTCTTGCTTAAGCTGCCCATTGAGCACAAAACGAGAAATTCAGCCTCCCCCCCCCCTCCCGACACACACAAACCAAAATGCACTGCCGGAGTTCATCTTGAATCACAGGACGGGGAGGGGGCAGCCCTGAAAGCCCCCCAAGCCAGGCCACGTGCAGGAAGCCACTTTGCTCAAAGCCACAGAACAGCCCTGGGGAGAGATTCCCCTTCTTTACTTCTCAAAGGTCCAGCCCCCCTCTCGGACGTGGTCCTTGCACTTCTCCACCCCAAAGAGCCAGAGGAGAAGTGAGAGGTGAAAGGGAAAGAGGCCGGGCTCTCTGGCTGGGCCACAAACCTCCTTCCACTTCCCATTTCCCTGCACATGTGGCAGGCTGGAGATGCAGAAGCCCTTGCTGGGCGTTAGCTTCACATGAGGGAGAAAGGCAAGGGGGGGGGCAAAGCATCGGAGCTCCACTCCCCTTGCTGCTTCAGAGAAGGCAGTGCTCCTGCTGCCCCCCACAGCCTGGAGAGGAAACCTCTGCAGCAAGGAGGCTGCTGGGCTCATGCAGAAGCTGCCCCATCAGCTGGGGAGGACGGAGCAACAGAGCCAGCACTTCCACACTCAAGGCCACGCTCCGTGGCGGCTCAGCTCTGCCTGCTTAGTGAGCAGTGCCAGATTACCAAACAGGCAGAGGAGGCCCCGACTGATGTGCCCCATGGCAATAGATCAAAACAATATTGATTTTAAAAATTAAGAGATGATTTGGGAGGGGGTCAACTGCCTAGGGGCCTCCACAGGGTTTAATCGGGCAGTGATAGGGAGAGGCAGCCCTTCTTCTGAATCCCAGCTGCTGGAAAGCACAGGAGGGGCTGCTTGAGGGTGCCCCATTGGGGCCTCTGGCTGGCCACTGTGAGAACAGATTCCTCCATTGCAGGGGGTTGGACTAGATGACCCTCAGGATCCCTTCCAACGCGACAATTCCACGATTCCATGAATTGCAAGGAGCTTGACTGGACCAAGCCGGGTGTCCCGTGTACACCTCTGTGACCCACAAATCTGATCTCTTCGGGAGAGAAACCCCCTGCGCCTCCACCCCTTGTGGGAAGCGGCTGCCTACCCAGCCTCCCGGGCACATGGCCTGGGCTCCGCGCTCCAGGCAGGGAGCTGTAACCAGACGCCCGACAGGCGCAGGCTCTGCTCTGCCGCTGGAGAGACGGGTGGATGGAGCGCCAGGCAGCAGCTGAGTCTGCAGGGCATCTGGGCAAGAGCCAAGGAACTGTGCCCACCGCAAGAGTCCAGCTCTCTTACCTTCCAGCCGCTTCTTCTGGCCGGACCCCAATCCGAAGAGCGGCATCCCGGCAGATCCTTTCAGCAGTCTGCTCTGGAGTTCCTGCAGAGGGAGAGAAAGAAGGATCTTGACTCCAAGGGCGCCTCTTGCCTCTCCAGCCAGGTGGCTCAGCCCTATTTCTGAGGAAGCAGACACAGTTCAGGGGGCAGGTACGGTTACAGCACCACGAGGAGGAGGAGGAGGAGAAGGAGGAGGAGGAGGAGGAGGAGGAGGAGGAAAGTGGCCGCCTTGCTGCTGCTCACCTGTGCTACTCACTTTGCCTCGCAGCAGGTGACTGTGTGCTGCAGCCCACCTGGGGGCCTGTTGCTCACCTGTCCTCCTGCCCAGGTGTTCAGCGTGGAGAGGAGGAGGGGCAAAGCAACACCCTCCCGGCCTCCCCAAAAGGACAGAGCAGCCGTACGAGGGCAAGAACAACACTAGGAACCCCCTGCCTAGTGACCTCAGGCAGGTGCCCTCAATGAACCCTTTTGGACATTTTTGCTTAGGCAAGCCTGTCGAGAGATTCAGAAGGCCAGTGCAATTTTTAACCTGCTTTGAGTCTGTTGCTGCTTTAACTTTTCAGAAGTCTTAAATCGTTGTTGCCAATTCTTCTTATGATGATTTTAGCATTTTGTCCTTTCCGTAAACTAATTTGAGGTTTTTTTTTTAAACAATCAAACAGCGTATAAATTTTATGAATAAAAAAAAAAAGTGAACAGGTCGAGAGATAACTGTCCTGAAATGCAGTGGATAAGCCTTCCAAGCAATATGATGCTGAGAGAAACCCTCCCCCCTCACCACCATGTAGGGATCTGTTTTGCCTGTTGCCGGAAGCTCCTCGTGGGGAAGGAGCAGTAAGCAGCAGGGGGCCAGCAGAGGCAGCTGCCAGCACCCTGCCTGCCCCCAGTCCGCCTGAAGGCCCCTGCAACTCCTACAGCAGGACCCGGCCCCACATGCCTGCCTGAGACCCTCAGGTAGTTGAAAGAGGCAAAAGGCAGTTGCACCCCAGCGGGAAACAGGGAGAAGGGTGGTCCACAAGCAAGCAGCTGTTGCAAGGAAGAGCTCCATCTGCAGATCACAGGGAGAAGCCAAATCTCAGGTTGCCAGGAGTCTCCTGGGCAGCACCTGAAATCCTTGAATTGCAGAGTTGGAAGGGACCCCAAAGGCCATCCAGCCCAACCCCCTGAAATGCAGGAATCTCAGCTCAAGCATCCCTGACAGACAACTGCCCAACCTCTGCTTGAAAACCTCCAGCAGAAGGAGAGCCCACCCTTTCCAAGGGAGTCCAGTCTGCCTCGCAAGCTACTAGCCCTCAAGGAACACCAAGCAGCCACGTCAGGGCAGACGGGGTGTGTGCTGCTAGGCGTCCTTTGCTCCTCTCCTCACCCTTCCCCTCCTTTCCTCTGTCCTCTTAGTCTTCCACCCCCACCCTCCCTGCCCCTGCCATAATTGGGATGGGGGGACAGGGGCCCCTCACCCGGTCCCAGGACCAAGCAACCATCAGATACAGAGACACCAAGAGGAGGGAGGAGGAGACAGCCACCGGCAGAGCTCAACTGAGGCTTCCTCATCAACAGTTTAAAGGCAAATGAGATCTCGCCTCCATCCTGGGGCAAATGGCCTCGGTGGGGAGGGGTCTCTGGACCAGGGCAGGGGCAAAGCCTTCTGTCTCCCTGCCCCACCCTGCAAGAGCCGCCCTCCCTCCAGCTACAGGTCTTCGTCTAGTGTTTTAACTCCGTTATACGGTTACCTGCCCTGAGAGGTGCCAAGTAACCAGAGCCGACCAGGCGTCTGCCACCCCTTCCGAGACAACCATCTGCAGTAACAGGAGAGCCCAGCAATTAAGGGCCATACCGTTCCCCTCCAGTGCGCGGGGATTGTTCCTCTGCAGAAACAGAGAGAGGGGGAAGAATAGGCAGACGGGGCCCGAAACAGATTTGCACAACGGCCGCGATGTCGCCGCTAATGGCGCTTTAGGACGTGGTGGCAACTAGCCCTGCTCAGCTCCAGCAGGGAGGGAAGCCCCCAGAGATCTTGCGGAGGCCAGAACCAGACCTGTCCAGAAGGCCTAATAATAATAATAATAATTCTTATTTATACCCCACCCTCCCCAGCCAAGACTGGACTCAGGGCGGCTAACACCAGGTATAAAAACAATTGATTAAAATACAACTTAAAAACAAGATTAAATACAACATTAAAATGCAGCCTCATTTCAGTAGAAACTCAAATCAAAAACATTTTGGGGATGAAAACGTCAAATCTTCACCAAGGCCAACTATCCAGACTGGTCCTATGTGGGCCAGAAAAAAGCCAGGGAAGTCACCATATAGGAGTTCCATCACAGAAGGAGAAAGGAAAAAGGAAAGTTTTGCTTTGCTTCTGGAAGGGATTGCAAACCACATTCCGGACACAAGCTAGGGCACAGACCTTCAGGAGCAGGGCGAGAGTGCAAGGACGTCCGGGGAGAGCTGGTCTTTGACCCCACCCCCCCCAGTAGCAAGAGGGATGCAGCCTGTACTATTTTCCAGGGCCTGCTAAAACATTGCTATGAATTTGCTTGGACACTCCCCCCTCCTGATTCCTGGGTACCAGACACTGGATTTAGCATGTTAAAATCAACCCAGGCTGGCCTCTCCTGTTCAGGAGATCACCTGGGAGGGGCTCTTAAGCCCTAGAAAACTGGACTCTTAGAAGAAAGGGGCAGGGAGAGAGGAGAGAAGGGGCTGAGGACCCTCGTAGCATTCAGGGTGTTGGAGATGAGCAGGGAGGGGCAACAGATTTGGCTGTGCCTCATTGACTGAGAGGACACCCTGATTTAGAAGGCCTCTTGCAAGAGGGGAAAGCAAAGCAAATGTCTTCAGTTTGAAGATTAGTTTTGATCGGTAGTTGAATTAAGAGGAGGTATATTTTAGATATATTTATGAGACGTCCACTGCTTTGGAATTGAGATAAACAGTGTATAAACAACCCATTTGCTTAACAGCCAAACTACATTTTAAATGTTCTGTTTCAAAGAGCAAAACTCATTCCCTTTATTCACACAAACCAGCTGAAGCCATTCCCAAGTGAGCTCAGTCAGTCAGTAGCTCAGAGGGAAATGGTTAGCGGTCTCTGTGATGAACAGGAGCGGTTTTTGTGATGCTCAATAGACTAAATGAGAGATTCCATTTCTGTCAGTGGTTTTTTAAAAAAACACTTCATTTGAAATGTTTTGATAAATTGTTTCATTCCCTGGTCTAGCCTTGCTGCATCTCTCATACACATTAGAATGAAGAAATAATAAATTATCTAGTTGAGCGACATCTGCCTGGGAGCATCGTGGAACGTCTCCTTTTTTGGAGATCGCACCACTGTCCAGGGTCGGCTCCAGCTCTGGCCGCGTCACCAAATCTATTTTTAATTTTCCGTTTTGCACATCTTTTTTGCCGAAAGAAGACTCTCATGCACTTTTCAAGATGTCCTTCCAAGCATTTCAGACACCGGCAGCTCCAGCAAATATTCTGTTCCATTTGCTGCGGTAAGACTATAATTTTGGCAGAACCAAAAACCAGCAGGCCAGAAATCCAGGTCAGTTAAAAAATAAGGAGGAGTGGAGGCCGAATAAGCAGCATTTCCGGCCGCTTAGAGCTGTGTGGATCTCTGCCAGAGAAATGATACATGTTACACCTCTTTAGGCAGGGACATTTCTGACCCTAAACTTCTGCTGCCCTGCAGGATATCGTGAGGAGAAGAAAGGCTTCAGGAAGCCCACCACAAATCCCGAGGGGAGTCCCTAAGGCGGTTGTATGGCTGGCGCCTTGAATGCCTCCTCCTGGCAACTCTGGCAGCCAAGCTGGTGCCCAACATCTCCCTCTGCTTCCCTGAGGACCACATGAGGGAGGGGGGCGAAAGGGGGTCTTGTCATCTGGGCAGCCCAGGACCTCCAGACACACTGCCCAGCCTTGCACCCCAAGGAGGTCACTTTGGTGCTGCCAGCGCAGCCGTTTGACGTCACCCCCAGAGGTGCACTCCACTGTCTTCCAAGACAGGCAGATGCCAACAATATTATTCATTAAATTTGTTCATCTTGCCCAGGACAACCCAAAGTGATTTAGCGTCCCACCCACTTCCAAAAGGCCACAGAGAGTTAAAGGCCAAAGGCCAGGTTACGGAGGGGAGTTTTTGCCTGGCACCTAAAGATATATAACGGAAGCACCAGGTGAGCCTTCCTGGGAACAGCATCCCAGAAGCAGGAAGGAGTCAAGGAATTATAAGGCTTCTCCTTTGGCCTGGAAGGGGAAAGCAACAAACGCTGCTTTGGGCTGCCTGGGAATCGTCAGACAGTGAGGAAGGGGAAGAGGAATCGAGAGAGAAAATGAGGCCCCTTCACTTTCTGACTTGGAGAGGCTGTTTTGGTTCTGGCTGTGGCTGCCAGAGAGAGGAGAAAGGCTCCCTTCCAACCAGGAGCTTTTGATGGAAAGTTGCCTGCTGCATTATGAGGAACTTTCTCTTTGACAGCGGGCGGCTCTCCCTTGAAAGGTTTTAAGTAGAGGTCACCTGTCAGGGATGTTTGGGCTGCAAATCCTGCATTGCTGGGGGTTGGGCTAGATGACCCTCAGAGGTCCCTTTCAACTCTATGACTCGATGATTCCCCTCGTGGCCCCAGAAATAGGAAAGCATTTGGGTAACATGCAAACTCACATTGTCAGTCAGTCAGATAAAAGGCAAATGACTGAAACAGGTGGGCAGACCTCGTGCGGACTTGGCTTCCCCAGCCAGGATGCAGGTGCACAAAAAGGAAACACACACACACACCTCTGATCTGAGGAGGCCTGGGATTAAAGCAAGGCTCTGCCTTTTGTCCAGTCCCCCAGCTTTGGGCTTCTAGCCACATTTTTCTTCCCCAACTTGGCCAAAGCTCCACTGCCTTGTCAACCCAGAAGAGTAATTTGGGGAGGGGGGTAGCTCCCCTCGCTGGCTGGAACTGCCAAGCAGAAGCCTGTCTCTTCCCGGGGGCCTTCCAGGACCTTCATCCCGACCCCAGGGCATCCCCCTCCCAGGCAGGCCTCCTGATCCAGGGGCCCCACGAGGCTCCCCTCCTACTCTCCCTGCCAGGGAAGACCCGGGATCCTGGCCGCAGAGCAAGAGCAAAATCAAGGGGAGCAGAGCGGCACCCACAACAGCCAGCAAAAGCCGACTCACTTTTCTGTTACATACCAACCCGCATCAGCGCTAGACTGCCAGTGAGTCCTGCTTGTAAAAACTCCTTTGCAGTTCCAAGCAGGGAAACCTGCATCCGTCAGAACATCCCAAGGGCTCAGGAGGAGACCTGCGGCCACCACATGCCCAGCTGAACCCAGGCCAGGAACCTGGCTGTGTCTCCGGCCTGCCTTGGACCAACATACCCTGCTCTCCGCAGGAGGGTGGGCTTCCCTGTCGCTCCTTTGCCTTGACGCCAAGACCCTCTGCAGGAGCCCAAACATGTCCCGTGGCATTTCCTTTGCCCCAGAGTGGAGAGGGGCTTCTGCAAAGGAGACAGGGGGCACAGCTCCACCGTCTGACCCCCCAGCAAAGCTCCTAGATTTGCTCCGGCTCTGACGCCCTCCTGGAAAGGAGGCGTGGGAAGAGAGTTGCCCAAGCGGCAGCTCCTCCTCCTCCTCCTCCTCCTCCTCCTCCTCCTCCTCTCAGACAGCAGCTGGGCCACATCTGGGGCTGACAGGAAGGCAAACAAGTCACCCCAGGAGCTCCCATCTTACCCTGCAAGGCGTTGCCTCCCAGCAGCCGGGCTGCTCACTTCCTCCGCCTCCATGGGCCCTTTGCAACTTCCAGATGTGTCAGGCACTCCACACACCCCCAGTCCAAACCCGACTCTGCGCAGTGTGGAGCCAGTTGGGAGGAGAGCAGAGAAGGGGCACAGCTATGGGGAACAGGAGGCACCCCAGACCTGCCGATTGGAGGGGCTCAGAGCCATGCAAAGGCAGGCCGGCCAGCTCTTCCAGGTCCCGGGCAGGCAGAGGAGTTGGGCTGTGCAGAGTTTCCTCCTCCTCTTTGCTCCACTCTGTGGTCTTGGCCTGGGGCCAAAGGCTTCTGTCAGGGCCCCCCCTCCCCGCCGCTTCCTGTAGATAGGGAAAGGGTGCTTGCTTCCGTAAAGCAGCTGCAAGGCTTTGAGGGAAGCCAAGGACCCGGGCAGGCAAGGACCTTGCAGGCAAGGAGCCTGGAGCAGAAGGACCAAGAGGGAGGGGGGCTCAGGGAGCTGGTGCCAATGGAAGGGCATCCAAAGGAGCCAGCCGCCACTCTGGGAAGCAGAAAAGAGCCACTGAAATGACCCAGGGAACGGAGAGGCTCCCCAAAAGGAAAGGGGGCAGCGCCTGGGACTTCTCAGTTTAGAGAAAAGGCAAGGGAGAGGCAACATGATAGGAGTTTACATACTGATGCCTGGCCTTGAGAAAAGGGACGGAGAAACATTCTTCTTCTCCATCTCTCCTAACACAAGAACTCGAGGGCTTCCACTGAAGCAGAAGGTTTGGAGATTCAGCACAGATCAAAGGACGTCCTTCTTCATGCAAAGCAGAGTTAAACTGAGGAACTCCCTCCTGCAGCAGACCCTCCAAGGGCCCCTGTTTTCCAGGGACGTCCCTGATTTAGAGAAGACATCCCGGTTTCTGGTCTGAGCCTGGAATTCCCCCGCTTTTCCTTAGAATGTCCCTTTTATCGCTGGAGAAATGTTGGAAGGTATGGAGTTATCCAACCCCTGAGCCATCTGAAGGCAATACTGTACAGGGAAGTTTTTAAAAAATGCTTAATGTTTTTATATATGCTGGAATCTGCCCAGAGTGGCTGGGGCAGCCCAGTGTGATGTGTGGGGTTTAAAGAGTAAAATCATCATTATGGGATGGGACTTCCCTAATTTCATTGGAGAAATGTTGGAGGCTTTGCTGCAGGGGGCAGGGATGGCCACCAAGTTGGTCAGTTATAAAAGAGGATGAGACAGATTCACGGAGGAGGAGAGGGTTGTTGATGACTACTACCCTGATGGTCCTGCTCTGCCTCCACAGCTGGAGGCAGCCAGGCTTCTCAACGCCAGTGGCTGGAAACTGCAGGAAGGGGAGCTGCTCTTGGGCTCGGATCCTGCCTGTGGGTTTCCCACTGAGGCATCTGCTTGGCCCCGTGAGAACAAGATGCTGGACTGGACGGGCCACTGGTCTGATGCGGCCGACTCTCCTTGTGTCCCGTGCTGGGTCTGGCTGCCTTTCTCCCTCCCCTGGGTCTGGCTGTTGGGCTTCTCCTTGGAGGCCCTGAAGCCTCACGAGGAGCCTGGGCTAACACACACACACACACCCCAACAAGCCCCCTCCATCGCTTTATTCGAGGCGCCTGCTGGGCTCCCTGAGATGACAGAGGAGCCAAGAGGCAGCCAAGCCTACCAAAGCACGTTTTCTGGCCCACCCTTCCCTCTCAGATCAATGGTGATGCATGGAGAGTGTAGGGTTCAAAATTAGCCAGGCGCCAGTGTGATAGGAATTTTGAGGTCTTAGATATTTGTGAAATGTTCATAAGTGTACCAACCAAGCATGTACATAGATCAGCACAGGAAGACCAACCTGGAACCATTTTTGATTCCCAAACTGTCTCAAACTGACCAAATGCAAGGTCAAAGGAAAATGGAAAAGCCTCCCCATTGTCTTTTCCTTCACAAATCCTGTCTTAAGGGTATGTCTGTCTGTGTTTGAATAGGGTGAGCCTGTGACCTGACTCAGGAACTAAGTATTTATCATTACTAAGTATTTATCATTACAAAAGACTGGCCAGGTTCCCCAGGGTATCCAATCAAGTAAGCAGGCAATCCAATCAAGTGACCATTAAACAGGTAACCTGTCAGACGAGATAAACAAATCACTCAGATTTCTGTTGTAGACCACCTTTTCTTTGAAGTAAGTATGATGTTTCTGGGGGTGGTCTTGAGCTCCAGGGCAGCGAATTTAAAATGTCTATATAAGGCCTTGCGCGCCATTGTTCTGGGTTCCTCCTCCCTCCTGCGTGGAGTGAGCGAGGACCCTGTTGCAACAGATCAATAAAGATCAGGCTTACTAGCTGCTTTGCTTCTCAATATTCTCTGGTTGGCCTCTGTTATTTTCTCCTACCAATAGGAAACCTACGTAAGGACTCTATATGGGCTCTTGGATACCCCATAAGGGGAAAAGGGCAGATTTTTGTTTACAACACCAGGTGCATTTTGCACCCATCGGCCACTAGGAGGTGCCACACCAGGTGCGGAAGGAGGCTTTTTTGCAGCCTGTGCCACTGCTGCATGGGGAGGGGGCACGATTCCATGCTCTAAGCAGCACCTGGTCGGCTTCAAGGCCAGGCTTGCGCCACTTGTGCTCGCCTTCACCTGGCTTCCTTCATAGCCTGAGGCTCCCCAGGACCTCCTGCACACCCCAGATCCCCCAAAAGTCAGCTTCAGGCAATATTCTGCTGCCCAGGAGCAAGCAAGAGCCCCAAAGGCAATCCAATTCCGCGACTGGAAGAGTTTCAGCCGTGTCATTCAATCTGGCCTTGTGCGCCACTCAGGAGGGTCGAGCCCCAGAGCACTGGCATCGTATTCTGCCAGGGTCACTTGGGGGCCAGGAAACTTTTATGCTGGCAAACGTTATCAGCTGCGAGGACGAAGGCGGCCCCTGCCTGAGCCCCTAGGAAGCCTTCGCTAGAAGAATCAGCCCCTCACCAACTGTGAGATGAGGGCCAGCGTGGTGCAGGAGGGAGAGTGCCAGACTAGGACCTGGGAGAGCTGGGTTCAAATCCTCACTCGCCAGGTCACTGCCTCTCAGCCTAACCTACCCTGGTCGTGGGGGGGGGGCGTTGTTGTTGTTGTTGTGAGGTTGATATGGTGAGGGCAAGAGCCGGCCCCACCACCTTGAGCTTCCTGGAGGAATGGCAGGAGATAAAGGAGGCGTAAATCAAAGAGATGGTCTCCTGCGGAGGAAGAAGCAGCTCAGAAAAAACGGGAGCAAGATGTAGGAGAGACAGTTGCCTGGACCTGGTCATGGGAGAGATGGGTCTCCTCCGTCATTGTGAAGCTTTGCCTACCAAAGGAGGAAGAGGAGCAGGAGCAGGGAGCCCCTACAAAGTGGAGCTGGCCAGAAAACCGCCCTGGTCACAAGCTCAGCTCCAGAAGAAACCTGCTCCTCCAATGGTTTGCAAACCCCGCCAACAATGGAGCGGCTGATGTCAAGCCAGCGCAGGGGCTTTTATGTGGTGACACCTTCACCAGAAAAGTTCACCTGCCACCCGCTCTGCTTAGTTTCAGCTGCCAGGGTGTAACCATTGGGTTTTTTTACACATGGCTTGAACCATAAAACAGCCCGGTTTTATGCTGCCACTTGATTTTTATCATTAGTGGGAGTTATCTTTATTGCACCTCGGGTTTGGGGCTGATTCCTTCTGCTGCTTTTATTTGCTGCTGGTGCGGTTCCAGCGTTTTGTTATTTTTGTTGAAATGAATTCAACCTTTTTATTGTCTTGTTCAGTGCAAAGATGGAATGTGAACATCATGTTCAATAAAGAAAAGGAAGCAATGGGGGGAAATGGCGCCAAGTCTCACTGGCCCAGGAATAGGAGGGTCTTTGCAATGGATGGAAGGTGAACGATGCCCCCGGCCCTCCTCGCTTCCGCCTTTGCGCATTTGATCAGAAGGCCTGAGGGAACAAACCTCAGCTGTCTTCACCGCCTTATTCCCTTTCACCACCTTTTTCTACTTGTCGCGGGAGAAGGGAGAAAAGGGAGGGAATCCAGGCTTAGCGGTGCTGGGGACCAGCCCCTGCACCTGTTTGCAAGGCCAGGAGTGAACCCTGCAATGTGTAAAGAGGAACTGAATGAGCCCCTGAACCAGCCTGGCGTGTGAGTCCCCACACCATTAGGGGAGGCTCCAGGTGAGAGAGAAGAACGGGGGATTATTTGGTGGCCAGCACAGACCGGCCAATGGGCACCGAGGGCCCCTCTCCCTCCAGAGGCCATACAATGACCAGACTTACCCGGCCACTCGCAGGCTCTCCTGTTTTCCTCCGTAGTCGTCCAACAGGGCAAGCGCAAGACGATTCCCGGCTGCAACCATATAACCATTCCCGTTCCTTTGAAACTCAGGCATGCACGCAGCCCCCAATGGGTGCAGCCAGAAGTCCTGTCGAGAATCCGTTAAATGCCCCAACCCTGCCCAGTAGACCCCAGCAGCGCCTGCCGTGATCCTGGCAGCAGCACAGCTCAGGCGCACCTGAGGGCGGCTGCTGCAGGCGGGCAGAG